GCAAATGTATGGGCGTCTGTACCACTTCCCGCTAGGTCCTGTGCGACATCCTTCAAAAGCCGATACCACTCGCATCGAGAGGCGAGGATGGTGTTGATTGCCTCGTGTGTCAGCGAGCAATCATGCAGCAAGCTGCCATCCAAATTCGATCGCACAGGAACTCGCAGCTGACTAGCATCAGGCAGCATCATGTCGTCATGCTCCTGACAAATGTCAAACAGCACTTTGACCAAAGGCGCGTTCTCCGGGTTGTGCACTTTGCCACGGATATGGATATCAGTGACTAGCAAACCCCGGTTACGAGCTCTTTCTGCCACCTTCTCGAGCTCTAGCACAGGGCCTACGATACTTATCGTTTTTGGGTCTGTGATCGCCGAAATGTAGCACTGCATTTTGTAAGTAGCTGTTACACAGGAATGGAATTGCTAAATGCTGCTTGTTTGCTTCGGTGGAAGTCATGTTCCTGTGACACAAGTCCAAAGACCGACAGGGGAGAGGCCCTGCAGCGAATACGAAAAGAATCCCAACTTACTCTAGGAATACCTGCCACAAGCTCATCTCCTTGCGGAGGAGTTCTCAGGCGTACTGCGATGGTCGTGGCCCCCTCCACCAACTCGTCGTCACCCAATTCGCCAAATGTGCCAACGGCAAATGCCAGTCGTAAAGCTTTGGTTGCAAGATGGACCACCTCCTCCTCGTCTTTGGCGCAAGAAACAGCAAAGGCTGTAGGAAGACCTCCACAATATCCCTGAGCGCCGCCACCTTTCTTCAGGCTTGCCAGCATTCGCTCGTGCGTGAGACCATGCAACTCGAGCAACTGGAAGTACTGGCAGATCTGGATAACGACCAACAGCGGCAACGCTAGAATACCGGACATGGAGCTTGAAACAGGCCCAGATATTCCGTCGGTTATCCATCGCTTCAGACTGACGACATGTCGCTTGCCCGATTTGAGTTTGGCTATGTCCGGGTGGCCGTCACAAAGTATGGTCCATGTGTCTGTCAACGACGTGATGGCTTCTGCAAATGGGAGGAGTAAGGGCGTTTCAACAATATACTTTTGGAGCTGCTCGAGGTACGCCTCTGTGGGGGCCTTGCTTTGAGGGCAAAAGAACGCCACAGAAGGCGCGAAATGATCAGACTGGCTGCGCATATCGAAAAATACCTAAACTGTCTACGGAATCACGAACGATTCGCTATGTTGAACCAGCTGGTATATAGACTGTTCCGCGAGCTATGATTCCTGTGATAACTATATACAACGTACTCTACTATGCGATTCATTGTACACAAGACTCGCTCACTCATCACTCCTAGCATTCTTTGAAACGGACCTACTTACATCCCCCACGATATAGAGATTAGGAGCTACTCTAGATTGTAACGCGCTGTGGAACCAGCCATCTCCACTTGTCTTGATCAAGTATAGGGTTGCATACGGTGCTTGCGAAGAGACGCCGAGTAAAGACCGTGTGTATCCAGAAAACTACCGAAGGCAAGAAGGTGTCGCGTGATGCCAATCGAGGAAAATGACATTCCTTATCGCACTTGAGGAGCGGTCAGTGCATGCCTTGGTTGATCGGACAAGCAATGAAGCTGGCTAAAAATGCCCATGGTCTTTCTGTACACACCACAGATTCCCTCGGAGCAAATCTGTGTCATCCAAGCATTGTGTATCTCATCATGACAGTTGTTCTACTCTTTCTACGCATTTTTTCGGTAGCAGTAAGCTTCTTAATTCGCACGATGAGGGTGTAGAAATTCTAATCGTGATCAGATTACCTCCATCGCAGGATGGCTGTCGTACAATATTCTCATCCATCCACTTCGACACTACCCCGGTCCGTTCTTATGGCGAGCATCTCCTATACCCCGCATTCTTTCTAGATGGAGGGGTACTACGGTGTTTGATGCGCACCGTCTACATGAGCAATATGGGCCAATTGTGCGATTGAGTCCCTGGGAATTGAGCTACACCTCTAGCAATGCATGGAAGGGTAAACATGGCCTCTTCCGCATACATATTTCTCGACGCTGACTTCGAAAGACATCCATGGGACAGGCACCTACACATCTCGCAAGCCGCTGCCAAAAAACCCTCTTGCTAACCCTCCACCTATGTCGGGAGAGCCGGGCATCATCGACGTGCTGGATGACGAGAAGCATCGAGAACAACGCCAACTCTTCAATCAAGGGTTTTCCACCCGGGCACTGAAGGAGCAGGAGCCCTTGTTGCTCAAGCACGTCAACAGATTGACAGCAGCCGTCCAGTCGCGCGCTGATCAGGGTCTCGAGACGAACATGGTAGACATGTTCAACTTCTTAGCCTTCGACGTTATGGGTGATCTAGCTTTCGGCACCTCTCTTGGTCTATTGGAGCGATCAGAATACAACAGCTGGGTTCGTGTGATAGTTGCAACGATCAAAGTAGTCACCATCCGCATCGTGGTATTTTACCACGTTCCTTTTGCGTCAAAGATCCTGCCGCTCTTGGTCCCGAAATCGATGAAGGCAAAGCGAGATGCGCACATGAAGTTCGCCGAAGATCGTGTGAAGGAAAGATTGGAAAGAAAGACCGATCGTCCAGATCTCTGGGGTCTGATCACCGGTGGACCCGGCGGAAAGAAAGCGAGCCTCTCTCTGGATCAAATGGTCGGCAATGCCGCTCTCTTCATGGTGGTAGGGTCAGAAACTACGGCAACAGTGCTTTCGGGAACGCTATATTTACTTTTGAAGAATCCCCACTGCATGATGAGATTGAAGCAAGAGATCTATGACAGTTTCAAGTCGAAAGACGCGATGACAATAGAGGTACTGCCGAGGTTAGCGTACATGAGCGCAGTTCTAGACGAAGCCATGCGAGTCTACCCTGGCGCTCCGGAGACGTTGGCGAGGTTGGTACCAGCAGCCGGTATGCAGATTTGTGGCAAGTATGTTCCGAAGGGCGCCACGGTGTTTATACTCCACTATCCGATGTTTCACTCCTCGAGAAACTTCGTCCGACCAGACGATTTCGCTCCAGAGAGATGGTTGCCTGAAGGCTCCGTGGAGTTTGAGAAGGACGACAAGAACGCGTTCAACCCTTTCTCAGTCGGTCCACGCGCCTGCCTTGGAAGAAAGTAAGTCCACTACCCTGGTCACCTTTATGCAGAGGCCTAATTCCGCCTACAGTCTGGCACACTATGAGTTGAGGCTTGCCTTGGGCCACTTGTTGTGGGACTTCGACTTCGAGCTCAACGAAAGCTGTGATGACTGGATGGATCAACAAACATACTCTTTCTGGCTGAAGCCGCCACTCATAGTCACGGCTCGAGAGGCAGACCGGAAGCCATAGCCAGAGACTAGGGGTGGAAGATGGGTATGAGAGCAAAGCTTCAGGTGACGCGCATGTCGAGGTATCTTGGGAGCTTTGGCTGTCTCGTCTAGAATATCTTACCACGCAATTCACGCATAGTTCAGATCATACCTGCTTGCACATAAGATGCGTTATGCAATGTCTCCAGCCAGCTCAAAGCAGCTGATTCGAGCCAAGTGACTGACACTCTTGGACGATCTGTTCTCTGCTTGTGCTCCGGTATTGGGTCAACAGATAACGGATTCTGAAGGCAGAAGGTAAACCGTAAGGATTCAACCTAGCAGCAGAGTTGTCACTTGCTGGTAGCATACATTCGGTTGAAGATCCGACATGCGCATGTCGTTTTCGGCCCTGAGCGATGTCATGCATGCTTTTCGTGGCGCCGTGATGGCGCGATGTGCTGCCGTCGCAATTAGCACAACCGTGGATACGACACCAATGCTTATCGACCTTCCGTAACCAGGTTCGTGGCGGTATCTGGAAGGCCCTCATACACACGGCGGCGAAACTGATGTCCGGGATACGGGAGACTTCGGTTTTTCTTTTTAGACCGAACGCCCGAACAACCTGGTAGCGGAGTGGCATGATCCAACAACTGAGGCAGCGATGACAAATCCTTGCCGTAGAAGAAGCGAATGCATATTGTGAGGACGTGCTGTTCATCCAAATGCTCCTGAGCTTTTCGCACAAACCAAAGATGCAGCCGCACTCTGCGAAGCGCACTGCCGAAGTCGGAGGCTCCCGAGGTCCCGAAGAAGTCGTTGTCTAGGTATGCGTCCATGCCCAAGCAGATATTTGCAAGACCCCGCGATCAAAGTTTCTGGCTGCTTTGCGCATCTTTCTCGACCAGGCTGTTTGACAATACAGGCCTTGCAACATGGTAGACGCCGTAGGGAGGATTCATTGGCCGGGACAGCACTCTTGCAGCCTGCGTGATACGCACGGCCCAGCAGCCCGCAGGAGCCCCACGATCTTCGGCGGGTTAGAACTGAGTCGCAATGAAGCTTGTGCTACCAAGCTATCTTGGATTTCTTGAGGTCAACCCGGCGTCGGAATGCACGTGAGGGATCTTGGTCGCTCGGATCGTCCCAAGTGTGCGCACAAAGGCATGGGCGTTCATCGTCGCTCCGACCACAGCCAAAGCGACATCGATCATGGTGCGCCTCGCAAACTTGTTTCTGCAGTGATTTTTGATATCTCGTGTTCGCCGGGCACCATACACATGTCGTTAACAAGGGGCGGCGGTTTGTCGTGGATGTGATCGAGAGGCGGGCTGCTATGTGTCGGGGACTCGAGATCGAGTTTGGTTGGGCTGCATCAGGCTCTTGGTCGCCTTTCATCTCACAAGTAGCTTTCTGTCTTCTGGGCTTCGCGCTCAAGGCTGAAGTCTCTTCGCGAGTGACCTCGGACCTGTATATTCGCAGTAACATTGTGGCATACGAGTAAACGATGTAGATTCACCGATGGGCTAGAGGTAATTCCAAATCATCTGTCTCTTTGTTGCTTTATAGTAGAAGCTCAACAGCTCGGTAGTATCCGTAGACGACGATGATGTCAGTCCGCTCCACCACCACCTGGACCCTCGTATATGCAACAAGATCAGTCGGTACTGACTCTAGCGTGTAACATGTGCTAAACTTCAACACTAGGACCTACTATCCGAGCAATTGACTTCTGCATCCTCCTCGGCATGCTTCAGGCTCTGGTCCTTGCCCAACTCCGGGTTCCGGATGACCAGCGAGAAAGCGACAAGAAGTACTGCAAGACATATACCCGTGATGCAGAGTAATTTTTGCACGTGTCTGTATGCCTGTATCACAGCGATACGCTCTGGGGTTTGCACTGGGTATAGAGTTGCAAATGCAAACGGATCACCATACGCGACGGCTGCGAGCGAGGGATCGCCAATGCGACGGGCCAACTCATTTGGGATGATCTGCTGCCACATAGCACCTGAGACTGTATTACCAAGCGCGCTGCCAATGTTGTAGGTAGCGAGATAAATGCCCGTTACGATTGCGACGTCTGTTTTGGGTAGTTAGTATTGTCGCTTCAACTAGCGTGAGTTGCCATGGAAGAAACTTACGCTCGTGTTTTGTAGCAGCTTGGATACTGGCTTGTGCAGGATATGGAAACATGCCTCCTGCAATGCCCAAGCATATCTGCGCTCCGATGATGCCGGAATGCAACGAATCGCCAGAGCCGCCACGGTAGTAAATCAGAAGACCAAAAGCTACCACGAAAAGACAAGTTCCGGCGACGATGAAAGGTTTCAAGCGGCGGACCTTGAATACAACACCACCAAGGATCAATCCGGTGATTACCGAGGAGAAACTGTACAAAGAGCTGATGCGAGTTGCGCTCTTTACTGATTCATCAAATGCGACGACTAGTACAGTGTACAGGAAGTCGCCTTGCATGGTCCATGCAAAGTTCAATGTGCAAGCAATACCTAAAGCACCCCAAACCGCACGATCCTTCAGTAGATGGAACGGGAGCATTGGATGAGGTGCTCTGCGTTCCCAGAGGACAAAGGCGGGGAGGCACATGAAGCCGATGATAAGAGGAGCAATGACTTTGGCAGTCCCCCATTGCGATTGCGCGCCACCTGCGATGGTGAAAGGCTCGTGGTTGGTCAGCAAATCGGAATCTCGTCTGGTGCAAACACATGCCGACTTACAGTCAGAATGCAGCCGAATACCGCAATAAGCAGCACGACGCCGGGGACGTCCATTTGCCAAAAGAGAGTGACTAGCAAATTCCTGGTACCGCCATGAACTTCGTATGGTGTTTGGTATGCATCGAATGCGCCGGCCCTTTTAGCTTGTCGGCTGGACCACATGAGCGAAGCGACTAGAGGGATGCAACACACTGTGTATATGATGCACCACATGCCTACCCCCCATCGCCAAGTGGTCTGACTAAGCACAGCTTGACTTACATCGCCGCTGACCCAAGTATTGATCTACCGAACATCAGAAACAAGCTAAACCGGAGCGTACGGTTATATTGCTTACCAGAAATGGAACGGCAGGTATGTATGAGAAGAAGAGTCGAGATCGAAGGGAGGTGATGTCGGCTATGATGATTTCGATGAGCACGATGATGGTCGTGTAGCCAATCTGTAGGATACCCGTTAGTATTGGTCTTGTCCGTTTGGCGTTGTTGCAGCACGCACTTGGTAAAAGACTGCGCCTGCGGCGAAGGACTCGACATTTGAACTGACGGATTCAATGACGGTACCTTTGGTCGTGTTAGTACGACTGCCAGAGCACAACGCTAAGCTCCCAGTTTGGTGTGTGCATACCGATGATGTAAAAGAGCATGGAGAGTATGACGACTTCTATGCGGCCAAAGACATCGGCTGTGACCATCGAGTTAGTTTCTCATATCTTGATCGGTGTGAAGACTCAACTTACCAATCTTAGCCGCAGTAGGCTGTTGAGCACACAGTGAGCATGGGTTTATACGTGGTAGCAGACTCTAAGACTTACCTGCGCAGCAGCGGCGATGACGCTCCTCAAGACATCTTGGTCAATGTTAGCGTTGGTGACTCGGAATGACTACAGATTTCACCAGACATACTAATGGTAGCCAAGGTGGAATGCTGTTGGAATCCCGCAGTGGCATATGGCTGGTAGGTGTATCGGAGCGTCCCATCCAAACCATACGCATACGCGATGAGGAAGATGCCGAAGAAGATGCAGCAGCGGTTGATGAAGGACGTGTGCGCGTTGAGGGCTTCGATGCGTGCGACACCTGGAGACTTTGCGTCTGGTAATGCGGTGGGGGAGGCTAGATCGGCGCCGGTCGCGGTTGTGTTGAATAGCGCAGTTTTGCCAACGTCCAAGTTGTGGTGAAGCGACATGGTGGTTGGTGGATTGGTGGGCACAAGTGTTGCGAGGAGATGATGTGCAACAACGGTTATTTACCAGCGCCGGGCGGCAGGTGAAAAGAATGCGGGCTGCATATTTCATGTGATTTCCCAGTGCGGAACGCGTTACTACTGTACAAGCAAACGGACAGCGTCTCGGTGCTGGATGGAGCATAGTGCGGCTCGGGACAGCTGATTGATAAGATTAGATGCAAATTCTCGCTGGCTTGGCGTGACCCCCCGGCAGCTCGGAAAGCCTTGGCGGCGCCCAATGCCGACGTGTAAGCGCGGGCGTACGGGCTGCTGGCGGAGGTGAAGGCGTCGAGGACGATGGGTGCTGCGGCGAGCGACGGAGGCTGGTGCTGACAGTGCCGAGGGGCTGCGTGTGTGAGACTGCAGGCGGTGCGTCGAGGCAGTACTTAGCAGACGCTGCACGCAGCAACATCGAGCAGCCATGGCCCACGCGTACTTTGGCGCGACAGACGACAGCGTAGACTCGGGGCTCGGCGCGGACCTCGACGACGGCCAGCCACAGCAGGCGCGCAGCAGCAGCGAGGAGAAGGACAGCCTGACGCCGGCGCAGAGCAGGCGCAAGGCTCAGAACAGGGCAGCGTACGTGTCCCGCCCCCGTCCCCCATCCAGCGCCCCCGTGCTCATGCCTCTCCAGCCAGCGCGCCTTCCGCGAGCGCAAGGAGCGCCACGTCAAGGAGCTCGAGACGAAGCTCTCGGCCCTCGAGTCCAGCACCCACTCGCTGCAGTCCGACAACGACCGCCTCAAGGCCGCCCTCGACCGCGCCCGCACCGAAAACGACATCCTGCGCGCCACCACCCGCCGCTCCCCCTCGGCCTCGCGCCCCCTCTCCGCCACGTACCCCTCGCCGGGCGCCTATCTGCCCGTCCACCACCATGGCCACGACGGCGACGACGACGAAGAAACAGCCACGGCCTACCGTGTCGAGTCCCTGACCAACGCCACCGTCGTGAACACGGCCGCGAAGGAGCATCCACGCACCCGCGCCGGGGCGAAAGAGGTCCCCGCTGCCCAGGCCTGGGACCTCATCCAGCAACATCCGCTCGTCAAGCAGGGTCTGGTTGACGTGGCCGACGTGTGCGAGCGCCTGAAAGGCTCCGCCAAGTGTGACGGCCACGGCCCCGTCTTTGAAGAGAGCACCATCTGGCGAGCAGTCGACGAGTCGCGCCGTTGCGGCGGCGATGAGCTCATATGATTGCTGCCTCCATACCCCTTGCGTCTTTTACTATTCTTTTGCGCTGCGACGCTGGCTTTGCGTTTTGGGCCTTGGGCGCTCGGCGTCCGGTGGCTGCACGAGCTTTCCCACAAGACGGGCGCTCCAGTGTTGGACAGATGGCGATGAGAGAACACACTTTTTTTTTAGATAAGGCGAGAATTCTATTACGCCATGTGCTTGTTTGCCCATGCCTCAGCCTGCCACGTAGCAAGTCGACTCTCAGAAATCCAAATTTCTTCATCTTGACTTGTTCACCACCAACACTCCCGTGTCCGGAGAACATGACTCCCCATCTTCAACGCTCGTACCTCAAACCAGCAGCGTAGAACAAGTCTACCAGTAAGGGGTCAGTCCACGACCAGAATGTATCTACTCAACACCGATCGAGGCGCCACAGTATCTGATACGTCCATGCGAAGCGAGCATCCGCCATCGGCAACTACTGCCTGGAAAGCCAACACATGTCTCAATGCCAGACGTTCCTCATACGGCGCGTACAAAGCAAATCTCCGGGAGACAGCTTTGAGGTCGACGTCGTGGACGTCAACAACCCTACCAGGCAATAAGCCGTCACATTACCCTATCAGTACGCCTTCAGTCCCAGTCGCTATCGTCATCGTCTCCTGCGGTGTTGCCTTGTCTTATCCTGCTAGGGTTGGCGTCCTCGTCGTCTCTCTTCTTCTGGAGGCGCGAGTCTCCTAGTTTGACGGCGCCAACATCAACGAGAAGCCTTTCCAGATCTGTCATAGCAAGTTAGCACACCGTAATGCAGGACTGCCGTCAGGAGTTGAGGGACGCGACCCACCCTGTACACTTGTCCTCGGTCCCTTCAATTGCATCAGCGTAACAATCTGCCTCTTGATATCCCCGTCCTTGTAGATCAGCACCGTCGGCGTGTTCTTATCCGGGTACCCCTCGATGCAAAGATCCGCCCTCATCTGGCAAAACTTGACATCGCCAAATCTCTTTGCCAACTCCCTCCAATGCTCAATCATGACTCTTGACTCGGTGTTTGTGCCTGTTGAACTTGTCAACAAGACCAGCACATGTGCCTTTTTGCTCTCTTCGGTAACGTCGGAAGAGTAGTCGGGTTTCTGAATATGATAGACTTGGTTGTACACCGAGGCGGTATTTATCGATGCAAGCTCGGCCATGCGCTTTTGACGGTACGAGTCGAGAAAGTCGTCGTCTTCTTCATCCTCTAGCTCGGCCAGCTCGTCCATGTCTTTGCCCTCTAAACGGTTCTCGTGTGCGAGTTCGCGAGCCTGCTCAAGCGCCTCCTGAATCATGGGTGTCGGCGATGGCGGCTTCTCGGGGATGACGCCATGTTTCCTGAGAATATCGTTCCTGACGCGCTAGTTTCAGTACTGTGTCTTTCGCCATCACCTGATGGTGGTTTGACTCACCATTCCGTGTCGGCGTTGGGGTCGTCGATTGGGACGTTGACGGGCATGTCTGGCATCTGCATGATGGTGGTGTGGAGGAAATGCCTGTTGGGAAGATTCGGTAGAGTGTGCAAAGTGCAGGTGGGTGGTAACAAACGTTTCTTCTAGACGTCTGGTGCCTGGAACGTCAGATATTTCCAACAGCGCGAAGCTCCGTCATGGACCCTGCCAAGCTGCCCCGCCCCCACCTCAGCTCCACGCGACGCCACCCGTGTCTCTTCTGGAAGCTGCGTCTTAGCTCCTCCATCTCGGTTACAGATATCTGCCATCATTTCTTTTTGTATGTAGCAAGCACGCTGTATTTAGAGGCATTCTCCACTACATGTGAGAGTAAAATACGATCCGACTCATCCGTATAGATTCCCACCGCGTACTTGATCATAATCTTTCCCCGTACTTGTTACCACGAGCTCGAATGTCCAACTTCTCCGTGGTTTGACCAACACCCTTTGCTGCCTCTTTCATTCCCTCTTATGTATGGTACATGTCAAGAATGCAAAACCCGATTATTTACATCTGTTTGGTCATCCTGACTTCGCACATGCACTCCCTTACTCACTTTTACCCTCCACATCTGCACGGTCTTAAAAGAACTTCCCGTTGCTGCCATTCTCGATGCTGCTATGCTCAACCACAGCCTCACCATCGTGCTCGTCGAAAGCACCAGGTCTATCGATGTTTCGTGGAAGAGGTCGGTCAAACGCGTCGAAGCGACGACCCTGAAACTTGGCCTTGATCCAGAGGAACCCGATGCGGAGAGCGCAAGCAGCAAAAGCCCAAAGAAGACCTCCGAAGGGCGCTGCTACGAAAGCACCTCGTCGTTGTTAGCAATCGTCATGGGCGCCGGAATAGCTTGCACTCACCGAAAGCGCTCCAGTCATTTGCGTACAATCCACCTTCCAACAACAGCAAGTTCCCGGCTAGAGTGACATCGCCATTGTAGTAGACAAGCCCAAACAAGAAGATGGTGAAGATACCCCCAAGGCCTCCAATAACAAAGTCGAAACCCCGGTAGAAGTAAAACTTGTCGCTCAGCCCGATGACGAGGCAAGGTACAACCGCTGCACTGACAAGATCACTGATTAGGAAAATTTGCAGGATATCGGGACTGCGCAGAGCCACGACGACAACAGGGAAGATGAGCGCCACAACGCACGCGCGGATGATCCAGATGTTGAGTTTGTTGCGGAAGAAATCGTTGCTTCCCGTGCTGATCATGGCTGATTGGAAAGAGTCAAATGCAGCAGTGGAAAGCGAGATGGTCATGACGAGAACAACACCGACAACCCACGCAGGCAGCCGTTCTAGCAACAAGAAGAAGGCCAAAGAGCCGTTTTCTTCGTCGCCAATGGTATACGCACCAGACCATGCTGCAAGCATTCCTCCCACACCTAGCAGAGTGAGGATAATCAGTACGCCCATACTGGCGAGTGAGACACCAATCCAGAGATCCCTGTCCGTGCGAGCGGCGAAAGTACGCATCCAGAAGCCTGAGAGGAAGAAGTCGTTTGACAAAATGGCGACAGGGAGGATGTAGATAAGTTGCCAGCCTAGGAGGCTGGATTCGAGGTATCGGGATTGGTCGATGAGGGAGCGGTCGATGTCTGTTTCTACGCCGACAGCAATGACGCCCATGATGATAAGGCCGATGACCATGACGCCCTGGATATTGTCGGTTACGAAAGAGACTTTGAAGCCCCCGAGTGCTGAAGTAAAGTTTTAGTTGATGCTCGTAGTTAGAGTTGCAACAAATCTTACAGGTGTAGATGGTAGTAACAGCGCACTCCACAATGACAACCGGAAGACCGTTCAAGCCCGTGAGTAGAGTGACGATTTGCTGCAAGGCCGAGAGCTCAGCGACCATGTACAAAAACATGGTGATGAGCGTGCAGACGCTCAGAAAGAGTCCTCCGATAGCTCCGTAGCGCTGCCTTGTCCATTCTGTCAGCACGAAGCCTTCAGGACACTTCCGTCTAATGATGGGACCCAACGCGCCAAAGACCAATAAGGGCAGGGACGATGATAGCGCGTAAACCAAGAGACCCTGTACACCAGCAATGGTAGCGATCTGAGGGTACGTGAACAAGATACCGGATCCGAGAGCTGTGGATTAAAGAAGAAACCTAGGTCAGCCGTTTGCACGAAGGAGAATTGGGAGGGGGGTGCAAAGGGGGAAAGTAGCGGCAGCACGTTCCTCACGCAAGTATTATCTTGATCGAGTTCTTACGGTACTTCTCAGCTTCCCCTTCACCAGGCTCAAAACTACGCACAAGACAGACGGCCAGGCGTGTTTCGAGCCCAGCTCTGGTTCGGCGCCCGCAGTGTAGCCGCACAAAAGACCACCTCCCATGTACCCACATGCGATGGGGAACTGCAACGAGTTCTACAAGGCTGCAGTAGCAAGGGGAAGTGGCTCCTGTGAGAGATCTCAATACGAACCTAGAGGATTTTAATCCAGCTTTGGCCAAGCATGGAGACGCGAATTGCTTTGAATTGAAGCATCTCGCCATCAACGTCGAATGCTGGACGTCGTGGCAACGATGGAAAAGCCGATACTGCCGCTGCTTGTTCACGTGGCAAGAAGCACGCTGGGTGCACGAATGCACTCACCACTAGCGATGAAGTTGAAAGCGAGCGGGACTCCTAGGCGCAAAGTCAGCCAGTTGCTCTTGTTTGTAGGGCAGGAACGCCAAAGTCTGGCTGCAAGCGTGCGATGCGACGGTTTTCTAACCCTTTTGTGTGCGGTTACTAGACAGCCATTCGGTCTTGGACTGGTGTCGCAATCGCCATGCGACGTAACATCCTAGCACTCTATTCCCACACAGTTAGTGCCCTCGTTCCCACTGATCGCCCGCGGAGTCGCTGGTGTGAGCTTACAGGAAAGCGCCCAGGGTAAGGTAGATGATGGCGTTGGACGCTGGTTGTGACGGGATGCCCATGACTACAAGTACTGTCTGCGATAGGATGAAGTCTAGAAAGATGGGTAGAAGATGCACGGAGCCACGAGGTCGGGAACATGCAGGGTTAAGACGGTTCGGCTGCCAAAAACTTTTGCTTGTTACTAACCCCCGCGCCTTGCTCGTTGCATCGCTAGCGCTGCGCGGAGGAGGGTCGCCGCTGATGTCAAGTTGATAGCAATCGCTGTAGCCGGCGCTCGTCCCCAGCCATGGACGTTTGCGTGGATTGCATGGGATGATGATGGAACTATAGACATTGGCTCGCTGCTGCTACTCGTGACAAGGTACACAAAGCCCCACGTGAAAGCCCAACAAGAACGCCCGTTGCTCCGTACCGCAGGAAATGCGGCAATCTGATATCAAGTGTTGGTAGCCGCCCTCTGCAGTAGTCGGGTCAGGCGTGTCTACCACGCGTGTCTGTCCCAGTTGGGATCTGCTGCATGTTAGTCGTCGTCGTCGTCGTCACTGCCGTCGCAGCGCTGGATGGCTACTGACCCTGCACAAAGGCAGCCAGCACCTTGCTGCCCGTCTGCAGCAACGGATGGCCCACGACAATCTGGAGGAAGCGCTGGAGCCCTTCGCGTCGGTGCTCAATGACATCGTCCGAGAAGCGGTTGGTGAGCACCTTGCCCGGCAGCGGTGGTATTGTAACGCGCGCCGACTCGCGCTCGAGGATGTCGCGGAAAGCCTCAAACTCGCTGTAGCGACGGCGTACCGTCGACGACTTGAGCTTGAAGGCGGGGATGTTGGTGCGCATAACGATTTCGTACGTCGTGTACATGCCACGGCCGACACCTAGGCAGCGCATCAGCCCCCGCTCGCGCGCTCGACATGTGCCGTCTACTCACCGTGTGTCATGGGGTTTCGGACCTGTGCACGCGACAATTGTGAGCAGGGCGGCGGGACAGCATCGGGGCATCGCAGCTTCTGGCAAGCCTACCTCGATCTCCAGGAAGTTCTCGGGGGGCCCATAGAGCTCCTCGAAGCTTTGCGATCGCGCGTCTGGCAGCGACTGCATGGTGCAAGGTGTGTGGTGCGCGTGTAGGCGGCGGTGTAGCTGGCCGAGGGCTGGTCGCGCGAGAGGCAATGGCGGGGCTGTCGCTGCTAGCATCGCCTCCTCAGCCACATCACGCTCCACCAAGTCATTCAAATCGCGACATCGAGTTTTGATATACATGTATATAGCGTAATGCCTTACGTGCTCCAAAGTGTGTCTGATCTCCGGTTTGCTCAAGAAAGCTATTACTTGGACTGTCCTTTTCCTTTTTGCCAACGACGTCATTGTTACTCCACCTTGGAACTACCTAGCTGCTGCGCTCGAGCTCCGGTAGAATACCGAACTTCCTGATCGCTTTTAGCATTGTCAGAGCAACAATACCATTGCCATATTGGAGACCATTATCTGCACGGTCCACAACCACAACAATGCCTGAGATAATCCTCTCGATCAACGCAGGATCCTCCAGCGTCAAGATATCCGTCTACAAGACTCCAGAAGATGGCTCCTCGGTACCGAAACAACTCGCTGAAGCTACCGTCGAAGGACTTACCGCGCCGCCCTCGAAGCTAAAGTACGAGCGCGGAGATGAGAAGATTAATGGTCAAGAACTGGAGCATGTCACTTCACAAGAAGACGGATTCCGCTACATATTGGACCACCTGACCAACGACCAAGGTCTTCCCGAGCTCAACCGAAAAGAAGACATACATTTCACATGCCATCGCGTAGTGCATGGCGGAGACTACCCCAGAAGCCAGGTCATTGACAAAGAAACATACCACCACATTGAACAACTCTCGGATCTAGCACCTCTTCATAATGCACCCGCTCTCACCATCGTCCGAGCCGTGGCAGACATCCTCCCTCACGCGAAAAACATTGCCTACTTTGACTCATCCTTCCACAATACGCTCCCAGACTACATATGCACCTACCCAATCGACCAAACCGTTGCCCACAAGAACAAGCTGCGCAAGTACGGGTTTCATGGCATAAGCTACTCCTTCATCGCGAAGGCGGTAGCAACACACTTGAGCAAGCCGCTCGAACAAACCAACATCATCGCCCTGCATCTCGGATCCGGCGCTTCGGCATGCTGCATCAAAGGTGGAAAGTCGCTCGACACGACAATGGGTCTGACGCCCCTAGCTGGCTTACCAGGTGCTACGCGCTCGGGCTCCATTGACCCTTCTCTCATGTTCCACTACACGCATAGCGCTGGCAAACCGTCGCACAGTTCTAGCGAAAAACTGCACATTACGCAAGCCGAAGAGATTCTGAACAAAAAGAGCGGATGGAAGAGTTTGACTGGTACTACGGATTTCGGGAAGATTAGTTCTTCAGAGAGAAAAGAGGACAAGCTTGCGTTTGACATCTTTGTTGATCGCATTTTGAATTATGTCGCACCGTACTTTGCCAAATTGGATGGTGAGGTTGATGCGCTTGTCTTTGCCGGGGGTATTGGTGAGAAGGGAGGGAAGTTGAGGCAGGCCGTAGTGAATGGAGTCAGGTGCCTAGGTTTCGCTCTCGATGAGGAGAAGAATGCGGAGCAGGTCGAGCATGTGGTTACAGATATCAGTGTTCGCGATGCAAAGTACAAGACATTAGTCGTGCAAACAGATGAGCAGTTGGAGATGGCGAGAGGAGTTTTGGGTGATAAGGACAAGCATGGAAAGGATTAGCTATCCAGAGAAACTGTGGAGCTGTTCCTCTATTCTTGATGCTGGGCTGGTAGTCTATAGCCTGCGATGAATGTCTTGGTGCCTTGTATAAGTATATGTCACTGGGTATCGCTCCCAAGTGCTGTGATGTGTTCCGTTTACCCAAACGCCACCCATGCTCCGATCCAATCCGCTGTCAAACGCCATGCAAATGCACTAGGAAAACGCGAATTCTGGGGGCAGGTCTCCCGGGGTCTGAGCCGTGCTGTTCTGGCGAGATGACGAGACGGTTCGCGATTACGACTGGGAAGCAGACTATACTTGACCAATGGGCGCTCCAAAGTTCAAAGGGGGGCTTTTGAGCCTGACGCCGTCGACAAGTTTGGTGGCACACGGATTGCGCGATGCGGCCGATGCCTTGTGACTCAATGGCAAGTCCTCTTGGGCGTTCTCGGCGGGTGCGGGGGGAGCTGCAGGGTCGGGGGCACCCTTGAGTTTGCTGAACCTGTCCTGGTCCTTGGCAACCTTTTCGAGTACATCGTCCAGCACTTCGAGTGCTATGTGGTCGCTTGCACCATCGACGGGATTGGTAGGCAGCATCAGTGGGCCTATCAAGGGCTGGTCTTCTGGCGGTGTGCCCGCTTGCTCTTCCTGGGCAGGCGGCTCTTGCACAGCGGGCTGCTCGTCTTGCACTGGCGAAAGGGCGCGTGGAATCAGCGGAGTGTGGCCGGCAAAGCGCTTGTTGGCTTCGGGCAACGGGGAGAGGAGAGCGTGCGTCGGAGGCGGAGAGGGGAGGACTTGGTCGTCGACATCAGCCGGGGGCAGAGAGATGCGCGTGGGCATGCCCGGCCGTCTGTGTCGCCTCTGGAGCAGGCTCTGCAACGAGGCGCCATTGGAGTCGAGGGTGCCCAGCTGGGCGCCGGTCACCATGTTGTCGAGGCCCTGCAACTTGTCCGTTACCATCTCGGCGGGCGGAGTGGTAGTGTCGGGTGCCGTGAAGAGGATGTCAGGGCGGACATGCATCCTGCAAAGGCCAGCCCAGACGGTCTGGGTGTGAGCGTCGGCGTATGGCCTGCAAAGGTGAAGATACCGAGTCAGTCTAGGTCGTGCATGCACTTGGTATAGTCCATCTCTCACATGGTCAGGGTGCATCAACTCTCCAAGGCGAACCTACTGCACACTGCGGGCTCGTGGGCAGCGTCGGGTGGTGAAGAGACGAGCCAAAGCGGGATGCGTCGGAGTGGAGGGCGTAAGACTGGGCGGTGGGAAGCGGCTGGCAGCAACGGCGTGGGTGAGATGTTGCTCATATCAAGGGGACGCAGCCAGCGCACATGCAGCGACGCGGCACGCGGCTACGGTGAGAGGGAACCCGCCCACGTCATAGCCGCCGGTTCCTGGCTGCATACGTCGCCCCCACCCATTGCAGCGCCGTGTGTTTTCCAAGGTTCCTTCTCCTGCAGCGCTCGCTTCTGGTTTCACGCTTTGTTTCTTAGTCTGCCAGAATCTCCAAGCCACCCGCCTTCGCGCTCGGCTGCCATGAGCGGGTGCCCGTGACCCGCGCCATCTCGCGCCATCTCGCGACATCATCGTCTCGACCGATACCGCGCGCGCACCACTTTGGTCGACCTCGTAACCCTTTTGAACATCGCTACCCTTGGCGACATGGAACACGCCTACACGTGAGAGCTCATTGGCAGCATAGGCCCTGGCTCCGATCGAGACCTAGATCCTGCTCTTCTCTCCCGCCTTGGACGCGAAGAGGGGTAATGTGTTGCTGAATGCACTCTCGAATTAGCCTCCGTGAACACAACAGCTGCCTACTCGTTCCTGAATCTTGCAGCCGTCTCTGTCTGCCCGATAGACCCCTTTCCGGCGTCTTCCGCTTCAGTTGCACATCGCCCCTTCTCAATTTGCATGGCTGGTAATCGCTACGCCCCCACTGCGCCAGGCCATGGATGCATTCCCGTACATCTCTCCGCAACTCAAGTACTCAGGCTTGACCAGGAAAGAAAGAGGAGGGCCGGCAACAAGGGAAAAGCCTGCTACCATGGACCAGGCTAATTCACCAGGTACCAATTCGGCACAAGCAGACCCCATCAACACAGCTCGGGAACACGACTCCATGAACAATCGCAGCTACGCGATTCCATTCCCCGGTAGCATGAACTCATCCGAAGATGACCTTCCACCATTTCCGGATGCCGAGGTTTCCTCACTGGCACTGGACAATAAGCCCGGTGCACGTTTGCACTACACGTACTACCCTGCATCCAAACCTCACGGCGGCCATCCGAACCCTTTCTCGCAAACGCTCATCGTTTTCCTCAACGGGCTCATGATGCCAAGAAGCTCATGGGATCCTGCCATGCGCAGCTTTCTGGAAAAGAGAATAGTGGGGCGTCTACCGTATCCTGCTCTGTTGAGCTACGATAGATATGGTCAAGGAGATTCAGATGCTGATCCCGACGACCAGCAACCACCCCCGTCCCACGGACACGACGCGATATCTGCAGTCAAAGCACTGAAGCAATTTACCCTACAAATCTGGAGGGAACACCTTGACGTCAACAAACCTACGCACTACCCCTGTCTCATCTTTGTATGCAACAGCATCGGCTGCGCACTTGCAAGACTCTTTGCGCAATGCTATCCAGGAACCGTATCTGGTCTGTTGTTCCTGGACAGCATCATGGCCAACTCGGACTACCAAGACCTGTGGCCGGACCCCGATGCACCAGACTTCAACTCGCACACACTACCCGAAGGTGTCACACAAGACGAAGTACGAGCTACCAGAGAAAAGTATAGAAGAATGTTCCATCCCGACGTTCCTAGTCAAGAGGGGTTATCCAGACGTAATCTGCCACAACTATTACCCTACGCAGATGCACCAAAACTCGAGGGCTACTTGGGCAGAGGCCCGTACCTCACAGTCGTAGGTCATGACTGGGAAACGTTTGCCGAGCAGTCGTGTACGTACCTGTCTCTTTCCAAGTCGACGCTTGGACTACAGAGACTAACCCGGCAAATAGACGAGGGTACAATGCAGACACCCAAGATTCTGACCATGACTTATGCCAACCCCGCTTGGCGTCGCTACAACGAAGGTCTCTGTCGCATCACGGACGAAGGCAAAGCCATAGGTCCCATCACAGCTGTCCGCTGTGGCCACTTTATCCAACAAGACGACCCCAGATTCGTGAGCGATGAAATGGTCAGCCTGCTCGATAGAGTCGTAAATCGAGTTCAGCAGGTTAGCCAGCGGGACTAAAGTGTGAGCATCTCTTGGAGCCAGAGTAAACCAAACAGGGCTGTATAAAGGGTCCGTAGATATTGTCGTGTACATGAAATGCCTAGTGTCTAACAAACAAGATTGCGTAAGGATCGAAAGGTCGCGCGTATATACAAGGATGTGGCATCCAATCTCAGAAGTCGTCCATATCTCCCATGAAATTGTCCTCGGTTGCGTCAACAGCCTTATGCCCCGCACTCGTGCTGTTGCTGTGATCTTCTTCTTCTTCTTCTTCAGCTTCAGCCTCGGCCTCGTTGTCGTCTCTTTGCTCGAGCAGCTTCCTCTTCTCCTCGTCAGCCAAGCCCGCCTTGTTCGCAGCCTGCATCCTCACGCTCAATGGTCGGTTCTGCATATAGCTCTCCATGTAGCTGGCTCCCAGACTACTCGGATATCCGTAACTGCCCGCTTGATCCACATCGTCAACACCACTCCCGTGTAAGCCGCCGACGTAAGTATCGAAATTCGTGTCGTCGTCTGCGAGGTCGTCAATTTCGAGTTCAGCACTCGTAGCTGGTGCGGTCGAGTAGATGGGGTCTGGACCTGCGGTGTCCGGGATCGTTTGCGTGATGTGTTGGTGCAGAGCGGGCGAAGGGTCGAGGAATGTGGGTGTCGCGGTCTGTGTAGGGCCCAAAGGTATGCTGGGGGACCGTGGGGAGGCAACTGGGGGGATGTGGGCGGCGGCGACGGATATGGGTGTCGGGGCTTCGGAGAGGAGCTTGGAAGCCGAGTTGATGGCGTTGGTCATGGGGAGAGGTAGGCTGTGGTGCACGGCGTCAGGGCGTTGGACATGGACTGGCGGGTCCGGGGTGGTGAGTCGCGGATCTATCATGTCGTCGAGCGAAGCGGTCGAGGTGGAAGCCGATGTTGCGACGCTGCTGGGCGAAGCCAGAGGTGGTTCGGCGACGGTGTCTGCGGGAAGGACGGTCTGGCCATGGATGACCAGACTGACTCTCTTCCGGCGCGATCGAGGCGTGTCCTTGTGCCGCAGCGCAGACTTCTTGGCTGGCAGCCTCAGCTGGGCTGGCTCTCGCAGCGCCATGGCCGCGGTGTCTCGGGCGTCGCTCGTAGGCTTCGGGTCGTCTCGGGCGTGCTCAGCATGTCCTGCGGCTGGCGTCTTCTTCTTTTCGGGCGAGCTGTCGCGCGCATCGAGCAAGGGAAGGAAGACGGGCGTGACGAGTCCATAGAGCTCGCGCTCCCGCTTGTGCACGCGCGTGTGCTTCTTGAGCCGCATCCTGTCGTCGGGCGCCGGGTCGAGCGGTGCAGCAGGGCCCGGGGCAGGCCCTGGGCAGCTCTGCTCTGGCACTGCAGGCGCAGGCTGCTGGCCGCCTGCCATGTCGCGGTACCGGTCTGCAAGCTAGGCCCAAATCAGTCTCTCACGGCACGCAGAGAAGGGGCCGGGACGCCTACCTCGTGGCCATGTCTGCGCAGCTCGGCCTGCTTGGCCGCGATGTAGTCCCGGATGTCGGCCTCGAGCTGCTGCCTCCTCAGCTCGACGCTGCGGGCCAGGGCGTCCAATTGCTCTCTGGTGCAGCCGGGGACCTCGGCCAGGCCCGCGTCGGCGGTGAGAAGCATCGACTGCAGTTCCGCGTTGGGCATGTGCCGGGCTGGCGTCGGTCGCCTTCGCGTGCTGGTAGAGGGCGGAGAGGTCAGTCGTCGCGTACCTGGTGTCGGGAGCGCCGCATTCGGGGGCTGACGGGCGGTTGGCCGGCGCCCAGCGTCGCAAAGCTTGATCGCGTGCTCGGGCGGCGTCCAGATGGTGCTTGCAAATCTCTGCCTCCGCCGCCGGTCATGAGGGGCAGCGCTCAGGGTGCCGCCCTCGCACGCTTTCGACCCGCCCAGCTTCCCACACACGCCTTGCCCTTTCAGGCAGCGCTCCGTGGGGGCTCTCCCATGCACAACACACGTACATGTACATCCGCTCCGGCATGTGCCAAGCCACCCTGCTGACCGACAAGATAGTGCATCAGGAACCGTCAGGAGCTGCCATTGCTGTCTGCTCGCCTTGCTACGAAAGCCATACAGGATGCAACCTTTCCAGGAAGCCGGCGTCTACGTTTACAAAGCTTCGCCAAAAGTCCATCTCATACACCCTGCGCGTCTGCGTAGCCCACGTCACCCCTTCACTGAGCCTCCGACACTCGTCTGCGTCCTTGCCCATGACCAGGATCAGATCCCTGGCAACTCTCACCTGGTTTCCCCATATCCGTCTGTATTGCTCCATCATGTCACTCACGATCTTGTGCGTGTTCCACTCACTGAGTGGCGAGTCCTTAGGCATGTATCTCCAAGCCCAGTACCTGCCGCGATCGTCTGCGAATGTCTCATTCCCACTAGCTTGCATTGGGTAAAAGTGCGGAGCAGACCACAGTCGCAGCGCCGAAAACCTGGCAGAGCCATGCTGAGCCGCGAACTTGTTTGCCGCCTTGACTATGTAGTCGCGATTCAAGGGTGTAGGATCCGCCAAGACAGCCTTGAATTTAGGTCTGGATTGGGCTCGGAAATCAAGGTAGAAATCTAGCGCGCGGTTGGGTTCGGCGGCGGCAGTTGCAACACCTTTAACTTGGGGTGTGTAAGCACTTTGTATGATGCCGGCTTTGTACAAGGTCATAACCACGGTACGTATCCTTTTACGCCATTCTATCGGGTAAATATCGTAGACAGGATCAAGCTTGCTTCGCTGATTGCGTCTCAGGAGCTCATCTCGATCTGTCCACAACTCTGCTGGCATATATGGATTGCTGACATGGCTTCTTCGATCAGGGGTTCGCTTAGCTCTTTCTTCTTGGTCAAACAGCAGGGAAGACCGGAATGGTAGGCCGTGCTCGGAAGCAAGAAACTCTTCCGTCTGGTAGAATAAGGCGATGGCGGCGTAAGCCTGGAAAGCCTCGTCAACGATTCGACGTTCACTTTGGATGAGAGGTGCCATGTGCATGAACTTGCAGAGCTCGAACGGGCCTGTGTTGATGTCGCTCATGACAAACTTGTCCATGGCCGTTACCATGGACTTGTGCTCCATATACCGGCCGAGGCCACCGGGCTCCAGGTCGCCCATGTGCAATGCCTCTTTCTCAACTAGAATGCAACTGTTAGTTGGTGTCACTCTAAGCGATGATAAACTCACCCCTGTGTATTGACCGTTGCCCATGGCTCCCGCACAGCTCTCGAATGAGATGTTTCCCTTGGATATCGTATTCTCGCTGACGGCGTAGAGCCGTTCTTAGCGTGTCCATAAGCTTCGAAGGAGAATCCCTGAGTTCGCTTGGTATCACAGAAGCACGTTTACGGTCAAACATAGGTAAGAAATGATCGTAACCCAGTGACCTGTCCGCCCATTGAAACTGTGGGATCAGCGTTCCATGATTACCGAATGCGTCGAGTTCTCTCTTCGAAGGGAGCTTGTCAATCGCTTTTCCGGCCAGAACACTAACATGAGGGTCGTTCGCCAACATGCGCCGCAATAACACTGCTCTTGGATCGTTCATTTTCTGCGATCCCTCGTCGGATTTAGCTTCGGATGCATCGTCTGAAGCAAATGACTCTTCATCAGAAGCAGATGACTCTTCATCAGTGCTGGCATCGCTGGCAATTTTCCACCACTTCCACTTTGTCCTCCGGTGTATCTTCCCAACAATCTCTCGGGGGAAGGGTGGCTGCGACTTGTCGCCAGGTGCGCGCCTTGGATATAAAAGGGCATCCTCTATTTCGTCGATCTCTGTGAAGAATCGCTCCTTGTATATCTCATCAATCGGGATGGGAAAAGCTTCTGCGCCAAGCTCGAAGTCATCGAGCATGCTAGGAACATTCTCTCCAGGCCGAATGCTGCGAACACGTCTATTCTCACGATCATTTGTGATATGTTGCACTATATGCCGAACTCTGACAAGCATGTCTTTTCCCTTCCTACATTTGTGGGTACGTAAAAATGCCTGTCATTGTTAGCTCCTTCAAAGTAGATATCTTGACACTTTACGGACCTCTTGTATTTTGCCCTGTAGCTCATCTGCACTCCGACCGGGCGGTGCATCCCAGATATAAACATTATAATAATCGTTGAAGTTCAACGACCAAGCCCTGCAGGCGGTGGCCTGTTCGAAAAAGGCGTTATCGACCTCAACTGTGACGGTGTATTCATGTTTTGTAGACCTGCCACGTCCGGCCTTCTCGCGGCTCAGCCAAAACTCCTCCTTTGGTGGTTGGATTACGAATTTGCCAGTCACCGGATCATGAACCAAAACACGAAGGTCGGCCGACTCCATTGCTAGGCACTCAAGGAATCGACGATTGAGGGTATCGTCACGCTTGACGATACCGCAGAGGATGTTGCGTGATTCCTTAAAATTGTACGACCGTCCCGAACTAGCACGACCACTAATCCTATGTTGCGTCGTTTTAGCTTCGGCGCCGTCGACTTGGAAATAAGGTATGAAACCGAGAAGCAGGAGGCATTGACGATTCACATCGCCCACAAACTTCGTCCACTTTGGAGCCGGGAACAACCGATACATTGACAGTATCGTGAGCTCGAAGAACTCTTCCCAGTTTCGACAAAGCGCAACGGCATCGGCGAGCTCGGAGTCTTTCGCGATGATAGAGAAGTGAAACCAGCCGCTGCGGTTGAGAGCGCGCTCGTTACGGTAGTAGTACATATGGCGGCCACAGACCCTGATCTGGATTCGCTGTTGGGCGTCGATAATGTCCATCAGGGCGAGGTCTTTGGCAATGTCTTTTGGTGCATCAGCCCCATCCCTTTCACGCATGAAGTCCGCACACGCGTCTCGCATGTTCTCAAGACTGGGACGCTCCAGCTTGAGGCAAACATCTCGTAAATGTTCCCTTGTCACACCTTCGCTTTGCAGGAGTTCCTCTATGCTGCCGGCCTGGAGTGCGATAGGCAGGAGTGCACTTGATGCCAAAAGAAGTCGACAGAAGAGAAAGTTCTTGATCTCACAAATCTCATCCAAGAGCGTCTCGATCTCGTCGTGAGGAACTACGGGAGTCGTCGTCCTTGGGCTTAAAAACTCAGGAAGATATTGGCCTGGCGCGCGCTCGAAGTTGACAGGCGTCTGAAGTCTCCTGCGCATCTGTTCCTTGGTCTCCATTATGATGGACTTCTTGCCCGTCGCGGCTTGTCCGGTGGCTTGGTGCGAAGATGTCGGTGCGGCAGGGCCATCAAGCTGAGATGCCTCCACACCTGCGCAATAGTCTTCATGTTCCTGCTCACTGATCATCAGAAACATATTGATGAGCTCGACATAGCGACCTCTTTCGTAGCCATAAATATCTTGAATGGGGTCCCACTGCTCTTCCCATTCCTCTTCCTCTTCCCTTGACATCGTCTGGGCGCGCTCTGCATATACTTGGTTCAAGTACTGTTCTTCGCGCCTCTTGATCTCTCTAGATCGCATGTCCCGTTGACGACGATCGAGTTCCTTTTCGTATCTTTTAAAGAGCTGAAACTCCAGCTTCACCTTCTTTGCTTCGCTCTGCGCCTGTTCCTCCTCCTTCTCCTGACATTCCCTCACCCAGTGATGCCACCGCTGCTCTTCATGAACGACTGCGGCGGCTCGTTTGCCAAGCTTCTCGAGAGCCTTCACCGTCTCGTATTTCTTGTTCTGTAGTTGGTCCAGATATACCGTGTGACCATAGTTATTGTCCATTGCAAAGAAATGGCGATGATGCAGTTTGCGCGCTCGGAGTACACGATCGAGCAGAGTGTATCTTCGAAATAGATATCTCTGTAATTCAGAGATTGCTGTTGTTTGCGTGATATCGTTGAAGTCTTGAGCGATGAGGGATCTGGTAGTGTTTGCGAGGTACGCAGGCAGCTCCAATGAGTCGAGGAGGCCATTTCGCCGCTTGTATCCCTGGTAGAGAGCTGCGTAGTGTTAGAAACGCTACGACAATAGCGACTTCTGCTTACCGTGGCATTGCCAAGCATGAAATGGGCAGAATTTGCCATCTCGGGAAGTGGCTTCCTGGCTGCACTCCGTCTGTGCATCGATGTCGGATAGCAGCCGCGCGCAGCATGTCGGGGCCATGATGGGAACGAGGAAGCCAAGCAGCACCTAGGGCACAAGATCTCTCGAGCGTGGTTGAGCATTCGGGTGCGACCATGTGGACAGTCCTGGGGAGCGCGCGGACGCTCGAGCCAAAACGCTAACCACGTGGCCCCACAGCCTGGAAAGAGCGGTGACTCGGCCTTCTGCCGACATCTGGAGCCACCACTATGATGACGGGATTGATGGTATGATTGACTCCATGTTGTTTATGAATAATACAGCCCCCAGCAGCAGGAGTGATGGATTGATGAGCCGATGCGACTTGTCCGCGCGCAGCCCCCTCGAGGTCTAGCCGCCTTATGCGCGCTACCTAGGTAATCCCAGAGCAAGCTACACGTGCCAGTTTAGCACATGGCGCTCGCCATCGTTTGCCAGAGACTCTAGAGACGAAGCAGTAGCGCGCCCAGTCGCCTCGTCGACTACCAAATCATCTAGCTCTACATAGTTCTTGGATCCACGTGATCCACGTCCGAACACTTCCTTCACAGATTCTCCGCTGACCGATATATCTGGCGTCTTCTTGCTCAATTGTCGTGTGCTCAATCGGTTCCCCGAGCTCCCAGCGTTGGAAGGGTTCGATCTTGATTTGCTTTTACTCTGGCCCGTGTAGCCTTCCATCGCCGAGTTGAACGCCTGCCTGAAAATGACGCGAAGTACGGGAATCGAGGTAGCCACGATGGCCATGGAACACTCTGCGACGGCCCATATGATGGAGTTGTACGATTCATCTGTGGCTGTTAGCAATGATCCGTGCACGCCTTGAGATGCCTTACATGATACATCCTGGACTGTCAATTTCTCAATGTATGTGGATCTGATAATTGACGTAACTCCAGCTCTTCGACCAGGTCAGCGCAGTCTTCAATCCGGCAATGCATGAACTTACAGTATTCCCAGACTCATGGCGACACCTGCACCGATCTTCTCTGCGGTACGCATTTGCAGATTCCAAAGGATTTTCCACGGCAGCACAGCAAGACACACATCCATAAGTGCTGACCACACTGCGTCGCATGTCAGCTAAGGAATCAGGGTACACACTTTGAGGCTGTCTGCTCACCAGCTTGGAAACGCCCATACACGACAGAGGGATGCTTGTCAATGCACTCGCCCGGTATGAGGTCCACAAAGGTTTTGGCCAGCGGTTTGCATTGTACCCATGGTATGACGGTGGCAGGGACTGCGAAAATCGCCAGGGTAGAGATCGCAAAGATTACGAAAAGTCTGACCCGTCCGTCCGTCAACCGAAGCAAAGTGAGTCCAAAGGAGATCTTGCTGAGCGCAATAGCGACGGTATATATCGTCAGTTCCGCCGCGCCGATATACATCATTTTATCAAGATTGCGCAAATCGACTAGCGTAAAGATTAGCGTTCCGAGCTGTGAAATGTGCAATTCTCCTTTGGCAACTTACGGTCAAGTGTATGTTTTCCGTAGCCTATGTTGATAGACAGTTGGTTTATGGTAACTTGGACCAGAAGTAAGATCTATGTCGTATGAGTCAGCTGCTCTTTGCTTAGGGATGTTGTGGCACTTACCCAACTGACGGAAAGTGTGCAATCGTCCAGCCACAGCTTCCCTTGACGCTGCCGAATATAAAGCCGCGAGAACAGAAAGACTGCGGAAACAGAAACGAGCGACCAGGTGACGACGGACATGAGCGGTCCATGGCTCTCGTCTGGGTTGCTAACCCAAGAATCGTAGGCAGCCATTTGGATTGGACTCAAGAATTACGCAAAGGAGAAGGAATTGAAGCGAATGCTCCTTGGCGCTATATCAAGATCCAGTTGTGGTGCTTTGTTACGATGCTGACGTGGGACAAGGATCCAGTTTATATCGAACGATGTCGAGTATACTTAGGGTTGCGGATGTAATTTGGCCACCTGGGTAGTGGCCGGTATTCACCCTTTTCCTTGGGTGGTGGGTACCCGGCTGAGATCCGTCTCCTATAACGCAAACTAGAACATTGGGGCTGTTCTGAAGTACAAACTTGGCATACCTAGGTATGCTTGTGGGGACGCTTAGAATAGTACGTAGGTATCATTGTTCGCCGCCAATCATGCAGTGGGGTCTCTCTGCGCGAGACTTGAACTCGCATGCGACCCTACTTGGAGCCCACGCCGGGTAATGCACCGATCTTGTTGCATTGGTCCCCGAAAGTGGTTTGTCACCCATGATCGGCTTTTGGAAACTATAACATCTTCAGTCCGACGTTGTCCCTGCGTTGGGCTCTGACTTGGGTAGCGAGGAATATACCTTCAACCTACTAGCACGTATGAACGACGGCCTAGGTAGACATCATGCCCGCTAGACCACATGCGCTGGTCTCGGATGCGTCTTGGCCCGATGTGTTATTGCCGGCGGGTTTACATGCCCAGGTGTTCACCTGCGCAATCTCCATTTCCGCCGCATGGAAGTAGGGCGAGGGCGGGATGCATAGATCACTCAATCTTCTTGCAGCCTCACGCGTGTTGAAAATAGATAACCCGCTTTTGATCGATGCGGGCAACGTTCATCATCTCTGTACAACGTTGGTCAGCCAAATGCGGTAAAAAAGGCGAGATCTAGCTGCCGATCTAGAGGCTTAACTACCTAGGTACCCACCCGAACACGGTCCGGCGCGCTTGGATCGCCGTTCAGGGCTCAAAAGTCTTGGGACACTCGCTCGACATTCCTACGATGTACCCAGTGCAAGCCTAACTTCTTGCCTAGGCAAGGCTCGAGCGCTTTATTCTCCTTAACACCAGTCGCGGGATTTAGCAAACCCGGGAACGGACTGAACCATATGGCTCGCGCGAGCGGATTACGGCTGGTCAAGGCGTGCAGAGAGAACGCCCACGTCGATCTCTTTGCTCAGGCCCTCCACCCTGCGATTTGAAGCAAGTAAAGCGGGCTGTCATGACTGTGCTGGAGGGTACCTGACCCCGGATTGGCATCTCTATCGGCGACAGTTAGATGGAGAGTCATGGCGGCCCACGTATGTGCAGCACTCATTTGCCACTATGAAACTTAAACGATCCGTCCCTGTCGCTGACCGCATCTTCCTCAATCCAACTACACGTCCTTCCTTCACACTCTTTCCCGAACATCCGAGCTTGTTGTTGCAAACATGAGGGTCTCAGTACTATGCAGCGCATCGCTCTTCTCATTGGCGACCTTCGCCTTCCCTGCGAGCATGCTCAAAGGCGACATCAGTGAAGCGACCCTTGCGGAATTCACCGCTTTGACAGAGAATATCTCAAGAGATTTCGAGAGTAAGCGATCGGGTACCCACGTCAAACGTGCATTCAACGCAGAGGCTCAGCGCATCAGTATCACTGGTGACCATAAATACGTGAGTAGCCCTACCGAGATGCGCGACATGTAGTTGCATTTGCTAACGACTTCGTTGTCAGATTGCGCCAGGCCCCAATGATCTCCGTGGACCCTGTCCTGGTATCAACGTGATGGCAAACCACGGTTACCTTCCCCGAAATGGCATCTCCACAATCACACAAATGACGACGGCCGCCAATGAAGGTCTGCATGCCTTTACGCTCTTATTCACGGACTGCTAACAAAGTCAGTGTTTGGCATGGGCCTGGATCTTTCCGCATTTCTGGCAGTCTACTCCGCCGTCATGGCCGGTGATCTCACATCCTTTTCGATTGGCGGCAAACCTAAGACTGGTGGACTCCTAGGCGGTGTCACCTCATCACTCGGCCTTCTCGGAGAACCACAAGGCCTGAGTGCGTCACACAACCGCTTCGAGGTTGATGGATCTCCCACGCGAGGGGACTTGTACTCAACGTATGTCATTCCCGTTTCTTCTGCATGTTGCATGGTCAGCATAACTCATTACTCGTAGGGGCAACCCCATCTCTCTCAACTTGGACTATTTCGAGCAGCTCCTCTCTATGCCTCTCGGCGAGAACGGGATTGATATCCCCGTCTTGACCGCGTTCCGCCTTGACCGCACGAAGCACTCGATTGCTACGAATGGACATTACTTCTCAGGCCCACTCACGGCCCTTGCGCTTAACCCCGCGACATATCAATTCACCTACCGTTTCTTCGCCAACCACACTGCTGAAAACCCAGAAGGCTACCTTGATGCCGAGACACTCATGTCATTCCAGGGTGTTACTGGAGAGAAAGGTAATTACAAGTGGGCTCGTGGGCAAGAGAAGATCCCCGAGAACGTGAGTACCCACGGTAACACCATCCGCTTGCATTCGCTAACACACATCACAGTGGTACCGCCGCGTCATCGGCGACGACTACAGCATCCTGGCCTTCACTTCCGAAGCCCTTTCGCTCGAAAAAGCCCACCCCGAATTAATCCGAATCGGCGGAAATACTGGCCAGCCAAACACGTTCACTGGCGTCGATGTTGACGACTTGACAGGCAACGTTCTCAACGCGCAGACGCTTCTCGAGGGTAATAACCTAATGTGCCTTGCGTTCCAGGCTGCCAGCGAAGCTGCTCCTGACGTCCTCCGCGGATTAGTTGGCAACGTCTTGGTCGCTGTGCAAAAGTTGGCTTCTGTTCTAGACCCGATTATTGCGGAGCTTGGTTGCCCCGAGCTGATTAAGTACGATGCAACCCTGTTGAAGGCTTTTCCCGGTGCCGGAAGTGGGATGTAGAGTGCGACTCTATGTCTAGCGAACATGACAATTAGACTTTTTGCCTTCAAACCCTTCTTGTATTAATATCACGAACCTTTTGTTTACCTTACTTGTCTTTATTTCATCGCACTTCGCTAATTTGAAGCACATGTGGCACAAACTACCGTGGTACTCTTCCGCTATTCGATGCTTCTCGTGTATGCGTATATATCATGTGTCTATCGCAACGCATTAGATCTCTAGTATCTCCCACTATCAGATACTTTTCCGCGCCATCTTGGTTTCCATCTCCACAGCATCTTCTAGCGAGTTAACGGCGATGTGCCATGCTTCTTGTGGAGTGAAACGTCGTCTGAAACCGTGAAGATCACGACGAGTATAGAGGAGACGAAGAGATTGAGCCTCTGCATGGTAGACTGAACTGTGTGGGCGTGGCTGAAAAGTGTGAACACGTTAATTAGGATTGATGTACACTTGCATGAGCGCACTGTCTACTTTCTATGTGTATTACTGTAGCATATTTCCTCATATGCTTCGCAAGCCAGTCCTGTCCTCCTCAAACAGAGGACGGACTTGTCGTATAGTCTACCTTGCAACGAGGCGTGCGACTTGGTTTCTTTTCCTGTCAACGACAGCAGCTTTGCCAGCAAGTTTACTCTTCAAGCTTCATGAGAGCTGCGGTGGGTATGCCTCTGCCTTGTCATGTCGTCTTGCATTCCAAGGTGACGTATCGCTTTTATGACTGGGAAGGAATGGCCTGTTCATCCACGATACCGTCTGTTGCCCAGCACAGCCGCATGCTTGCGCCGGCTTGTTGATGTTTCCACCGTAATGCCACCCAGCAGACTCAGTCGCCGCCTTCCTCTTCTTTCCGCTTTTCTTCTGCCTCAGCCTTCTTCTTGTCCTCCCATTTCTGTTTCTTTTCCAACAGCTTCTGGAGATTCTTTGCGCCGTTAAAGACACCATACGTCTTGGCACTACACGCCGCACACGTGGGATCTTTGCGATATCTCTTCAAAGCGCAAGGCTCGCAGAAGTAGTGTCCACACTTGGTGATGATGGGGCTCTTGTAGGGCGTCTTGCAGATGATGCAGACAAACGGTATCTTTTCGAGTTGCGCCAGATCCATTCCGTCTTCGTCCTTTTCCTTCTCATCCCTGTTGGCAGAAGCGACAACGGTGCCTCCAGGTTTCTTGCCTTTGGTCGACATGTCCCACTCGCGGTCTAGCTTCCAGCCTGCCGCGTAATCTTCGCGCGCGTGCAAAAACTTGCAATTGTCGCCGAAGCCACAGAAACCAGTCTGCTTGTAGTCCTTGCACACATCCGGCGTGTAATCTGTAACGGTAATCGTCCGTATGTTTGTCGATGCTTTCATGGGTCCTACTTGGCGACTGGGAGCGTCGGGGTTCTTCTCGATGAGTTGGTGAGGCTTCGTTCGCGTGCTGCCGAGCAGGTTCTTGGAGCTGAGAGCGTCTCGGGCATTTTCGTCGTACCAGTTTGACTGCTTCGTCGCATCGTTGCTTGCTTCCATGACCGCCGAGCGATTTGCTGCGTATTGCGTTGTACTTGCAACTGCCGCGTGCGTCTTCTGGTCTGCAGTCGACGCCTTGAGTGCGTTGTCGTTGACTTTTCGCCGCTTCACCACGCGGCCATGCTCGCCCTCTCCTTCTGAGCCGGAAGAGAAATCCGAATCCGACTGCGGCGGCGGCGGCGGGGCCACCTTCCGGGGCGCAGCTTTTGCTGCTCGCTTCTTGAACTTGACGACGGGTGCTTCCATGCCGGGGGTTTCGTGGGTGGCGGAGGTGCGAGATGTTGGACATGTAGGAGTGAGGCACAGAGAGGCAGCCCAGCTGTGGCTAATTAATTCGACGTCACGTGATGGGGTCCGGGATGCCGGTCGTGGGGTAATGCGATGCGCGTCGTGCTTGGGTTGCTCCAATCGCTCGGATTTGTCTACTTTGTTGCTGCGCCCTTAGGACAATAACATTCGTTCTCTATTACTAATTAAGGTACCTAAACTAAATACAACTAATTACTTAACACTTATAACTAAATTCTCTAACCTATTCTACTACTTTATAGAGCGCTCTTTACAATCTATAGAACTCTAATTAGTAAGCCTACGTTAGAGTTCTTCTATATGTTCTTAATAAATTTCTAGTCTTATTTACATAAATCTTCTACTACCTTATTATTTTTTACTAAAGAATAAAGTTATAAGAGCTAGTAACGTTAAAGAGAGAAGCGTTGTTAAGGTAGATGCTTGCAGTAGAGGACTTTAATAACTAGCTAGTAGATATAGACTGTGTCTAGAATGTTAATTACAGCGCGCTAATTAAACGCTAACTTAGTTAATTTAATATAGTCTACGTAGCGTTGCTTCTTCTTAAGTTCTTTGTAGAACTTCTAGAGAAGCTTAAGAACCTAAGATACGCTTAATTTAATTAAGTTATTATCTAGATCTACTAGAATTTAAGCTATTTTAAGCTCTATATAAGTAGGTAGACTGCTAAGAAAGAAAATAAAGCTGCCTACTATTAAATGTTTAGTGTTAGAGAACATTGTAAAGAATTTAAGTTAGAGACTAAGCTTAATAGAGAAGTGTTAGTTAATAAGAAAAAAAAGAATAGATAGAGAGAGAGAGAGAGAAGCTGTGCAAGTAAATATTCTTATAAGAGAATTTATGTTATTTTAAAATTGCAATACTTAGTTACTTTATTGTAATAGTAAGCTATAGTTATTTATTATAAGTTCTATAGTTGTACGTAGAGTATTATTATTACCTAATTACTATAAAGAGAGCTACCTCGCTAGGTAATTCTTAGGTGCTAAGCTGCAAGGCTTAGCCTAAGCTTCTTCTGCTAAGGATATATTACACACTCTTATATTACGACCTTTTTGAAACTAGTAGAGGGCTATACCAGACTTAGACACCTTTTCGATGATACCCACTGGCTTATATATTCATCTTAATGCTCCAATCGCACACGCAAACAGCCCCTCGGCCCGCGGCACTACCACGACAGTCTCGCAGTCTAGGCAGCAGACGTGCAGCAAGTGCCGGCGCGAACCAATGGAGGCGCAGACGTAGCTTTGTTGATGTTGTGGATATGTTATGGGTATCAGCGCTGGCTCCATGGCGAAAGCGTGAAAGCGGCAAAAGCGCACGGTCGCCTCATTTCGCTCTTGTGCACAACATCATGCGCTCTACCATGATCCCTCCTCTGTCGCCTCTGTAGCCCCTCCAGCCCGTTCGGCATTCCCTTGTTTTTCTTTCTTCGCCATCCCGCGCCCCTGCCTGGGGATGCGCCTTTGCTTCTTTTCTCTAGTGTGACGGAAACGCGACCGAGTGCCAGCAGCCGCTGCCGTGTCCCCAGTCGCTTTCCCGCGCGTCCTTGCCCCCCAAACCCTTTGTGCATTACACCCACAGCCCGACAGAGTGAGACGTACCATCGCTCTTGTCTCTAATACTACCCGGAAAACACCCCCGCCGCCGCCTGCCGCCACGACACGCGCTCGCCGCCCACTCCTGCCCTGCACCGTTCGCCCAACGCATCCCGTCTCCGCCCGCCGTCCCGGGCACGTCTACGTGGAAGCGGGGGAGCCACGCCAGGAGATGACCCAATAGCAGACGCATCCAGCGACTCTTCATGGCTACAGCAAATCCTCCACCGGGCGCGCTCTCGGTGGAGCACCACAATGGCGCCGACCCCTTCCTCGCCGCACCGCACGACGCCCACCGGCAGCGATACTCGGCCTTCGACAACTCGCAATTCTCGCTGTACTTGAACGGATCACCCCTACAGGCCAAACGCGCTCTACAGGCACACTTGGCAGAGACGACGCGCAGACTGCAGGAGACGTCGCATCTGGGGAGCGCGCTTGTTCAGCAGAGAAAGGAGCTAGAGGACAAGCTGCACGAGGTCGAGCAGCAGCAGCCAGACAACGACATCGGGCCAGAGCTGCGCCAGAGGCTGGCCGAGCTAGAAAAGGAGTTCAACGAGGTTGGAAGGGAGACGGCTCGCGCCTTCCTCCCCAAGTCTCGCGTACCCAGTGGCGAGACGGATCCCACTGCCGGTGGCTCCATCTACTCCAGCGACGCCATCCAGTCACCCACCAAAGTGAGCGTTCCGTCGCGGAAGCAGAGGAACCAGCAGCCCAGCCGCATCAATGACATCGCCCTGGCCACCGAAATCTCCACCTCTTTGCTTTCCCAGCTCAAGGACCTCCAGGCCGTCCTCCTCGAGAAGGATGACGCCCTCAAGGCGGCTGATCTGGACCGATCGCAGCTCGAAATCGAGGTCGAAGGCTTGTCGCAACGTCTGAGAACATTGGACGAAAGCGAATCGCGACTCAAGGACGTCAACTGGAATCTTGAGACACAGGTTCGCGAGTCGGAAACACAGTTCAAGTCGGCCGCAGACAAGGAGCGAAGCCTCAATCATGCCTTGGATCTCGCACGTACCGAGAGGTCCACTTTGGAGAAGGAGTTGGAAGATTTGAAGCAGATGTATACCAAGCTCAACGACGATCACATCAACAAGACCAAGCAGCACGAGACGGAGCTCTCTAGCCTGCGGCGAGTCGCGGCCATGACGGAGACGGAAAAAGGTGCAATGCAGCGCAAGGTCGAAGAGCTCATGACAAAGAATCAAGAGCTGGCTCAAGCTGTCGCTTACCGCGCACGATCAGAGCATCGTGGCCGATCTGACAGATCGTCTGATGACGATCGTGGTGTCAGGCAGCAATCTCAAACGCCTGAACACTCGCCTGAACCGTCTCCAAGCAAGGCCACTCCGCGCCACGGTATGCTCGAATCGGAAACACTCAAACATTCGCTTCAACACGCCCACCGCATGATTCAGCAACTCAAGAACAATATCCATCGCGAAAAGACCGAAAAGATCGAACTGAAGCGCATGCTCCAAGACGCTCGTGATGAAGTAGACGCTACCCGCGCTCAAGTTGGACCTGGTAGCGCAAGCAAGCGAAGGAAGAGCGACAAGGATGCTTTCAAGAAACCCGCTCGACCAGATCGTCTTGGGGCCTTGCGCAACGTGTCGCACGAGATTGTAGAAGACGACGAGTGGGAAGAGCAAGAGGCCGTGCCCGACACCCCAAGTCGGCCACCGCACCCATCCAACTCTGTACCCGGCTCCTTTCCAAATGCACTCAGCTCCGTCGCGGGAACGAGCGCATACGAAAACCTCGACACTGCCAACGAAACCTCAGATGCTGCTTTCGAGACTGCCAACGAACGCGACGGTATGGCAACTGAGTCCGACGCATTCCAAACCGGAGCCGAGACCCTCGACGGAGACAGCAGCGACCAGCTGACTGAGACCGAGGCCGGCCCTTCCAACTCTGCTGCCCGGCGTAGTCGACCCTCAATCTCACAAGCTGGTCGCATCAATTCCTACCGCAGCACTGCTTCTGCCTCTGGCGATGAATACGATTCCGATTTCAGGACTCCTCTTCACCACAAGACTTCGCGCTTTACGTTAAGAGCTAGAGACAGCAGTTCGCGGAGATCGACGCCGAGAGGGTTAGATTTCTTTGCAGGTACGCCCCCAGCGTCAAGAGACTCGCCCGCGGGCTACGTCAGCAGCAGCAACGAGAACACTCCCGCCCAAGGCAAGAGTCTATTGGCAGAACTCAACGACCTGAGTGGCGATGACGATGATGCTAGTTCCATCGAGGGATCACCAAGTCGATCCAGTGTCGTATACTCAAGCCATGCCACGCCAGATCCACTAAGAAAGGCTGTTCTCGGAAGGTCGCTTCTTCAACCCGATGCTCCCAGGCCAACTATGGTTGATTCGGGCACGATGACCGAACAGGATGCCCGCGAGCCTATTTCCATATCCTCTATATCGAGTCAGAACACAGAACCGTATGCTGCTCGCTTGCCTACATTACAAGTCTCTGCCCTGCATTCGCAAGGCACAAGCCCGCGAGCTTTGCCTCGTCAAAATCTCGACGTCTCCATGGTCACCTCACAAGACAGTGAACCCAAGCTTGCACTTCGGCCAGCCCTTGGCTTCTCTTCCGTCTCCGGTCATGCTACTAGTCCCCAACCCCCAGAGATACCTCAGCTGGCTGTGTCCTCTCTTTCAAGTCAGGGGACCGAGCCAACAATCCCTTCAGCTCCGTTGTTCGCATTATCTCCGCTTCATGCACAAAACACGGCGCCACATGCCGTACCCACTGCTCCTCTGAATATGTCGTCAGTGGCTGTTCATAGCACCGAGCCTCGCCTTATTGCTCCTCCTGCTCTTGGGGTGTCGACAGTATCGTCTCATGGCACTGATCCTATTGTACCAGTGCTGGTGAAGGACATTACACCTTCTTTGGACATCTCCTCCATTTCGCATCAAACTACGGAGCCGCGGAAGGCGACTGCCCCAACCCTAGTGGCTCCAGCAGGTCTTTTTACGTCTGCTATCTATGCACAATCGACCGAGCCCGCACAACTAGCCGAATATGTCTCGACAACGGAGTCAAATCGAAGCCCTGACGATATGCTTCCGGCATCTCCTGCCCAAGATATCGGTCACAGAGAAAAGCGTGCACCACTCCAAATGTCAAGTTTGTCTGCCCACGAGACTGAGCCTAGAGTCACACCCTACAAGCCGACGTTGTTACAGATGTCACCTTTGGTGTCTCGCTCGACTGAGCCCAAGGATTTGCCTCGTGTGGTCCTCTCTGCATCTTCTACGACATCGACTAAGTCGACAGTACCCCGCGCGCCGGGAACCAGTAGACAACAATTCTCTCCACTTTCTGCACAAGTCACGAAACCTATTGCGCTACGACAGCCGCAACTCGTGTTGTCCAGTTTCTCCGCTCGCTCTACGGACCCGGTGGCAGTGGCTAGAGCAGATCCGTCACAACTATCTTCGTTGTCGATCCAGGCATCCAATCCCATTGAACCTTTGAGGGTAGCACCGTCGACCATCTCCGTACTGTCCTCGCTGACTACTGAGCCAATTGGACCCGAGCGGCCAATTCTCGCTAATTTCTCTGGGGTTTCGTCTCAGGCCACCACACCCGTAAAGCCAGAACAGATACCACTGCAATTGTCAGCCGTCTGCGTACTGCAGACCGTGCCGATCCCACTACCTGTTCCTTCGGTGTCTCTACATCACAGTTCCGATGTGCGGACTGTTCAAGACACTCAGCCTGAGTCGCCAACGCTCCCGGCATTTTTGCCAACACCGACAAGTCGGCCATCCACAGCAAATCGTGTTTCTGTCCCTGCTATGACATTGTCCCCTGTTGCTGCGCAGGATACTGAACCATTGGCTCCTCCGCGACCTGGTACCGCTCATCGGGCCGCCGCGCCTTCCGTAACCACTAGTGCTTCTTCTCAGACAGAAGCATCGGCGAATAAGCAAGTATCCACGCCCAAGCTCAGCTACTTCGATACTCTACTATCTTGGAATAAGAATACCACGGACGCTAACACCCCACCGGTTGATAGCAGGGATGCTAGCACAGCCTTTCCACCTGTCAGTGTCAATGCCGCCAGTAAGACTCCCCAAACGCCAATGGCCGATGGAGCTACACAGACAATGGTGTCTGCTCAGCAGATCGACAAGCTGCTGCTTGCTCGAAGTCAGCGATGGAGTAGTTTGATAACCACGTCCGGGCTTGAAAAGTCGCTGTCGCCGCCGGAGTCGCCTAGCAAAAAGCATGTCAATGAGACAAGTCGAACACCCAAACGCCCAGGCAGTTCGGGGAGCATGCGCTCTCGCGCTGCAACGCCTCCTCCTCTGCCTTCGGATCATAAGGAAGTCATCGCCGCGGCTTCTCTCAAACCAATCTCCCCAGGCACAATGGGCCCGCCTACAATGCCTGCATCCGCCTACAAGAAGCGACCGCATACGCCTACCATCAAGACTGGTAACAACACTCTCACTCCCAGAACAGGCGGGACCACACCGCGTGTGCGTCGACAGTCACAGCGTAGCGGAGCGTCTTCACCTCTTAGCCGGAGGTCATCACTATCTTCGTTTACTTCGGAAATAGACCAACGCTTCAATATTCCAGGGGGGCCGTCTTTTGCTGCCAATGGATTGCCACCCGGTGCGACAGATCCGCGCATGATCCAGGCCATCACTCAGACGATGATTGGCGAATATCTGTGGAAGTACACTCGCAAGACTGGGCGCGAAGGCATGTCTGAGAACCGTCACCGGCGTTTCTTCTGGATTCATCCTTACACTAGGACACTGTACTGGAGCGACCGAGACCCTCAGAGTGCCGATAAGACGACATTGAAGGCTAAGAGCGTAGCCATCGAATCTGTTCAAGAAGTCGACGACCCTAACCCTCTACCTCCTGGGCTTCACCAGAAAAGCTTGCTTGTCGTCACACCTGGTCGATCGATGAAGTTCACGGCTACAACAGGTCAGAGGCACGAGACGTGGTATAACGCTCTGAATTATCTGTGCCAACGGGTCGACGAGAACGATCAGCAAAAGTCGCCAACGAAGTCTGATCAAGACCAGAAGGCAGCTACCGCAGATGAGATTCAAGACGAGTTCAATGGCGGGTATCGCAGCTCTTCTCGGCAAACAGGCCGTTCAAGAGGCTCGATGTCCTCATACGTTACCCGGCGCACATCATCCCGCGATTATGGCCAAGTGCCCACGATTCGACAGTCGCATGTTACACCACATCGTGCAACCTCGACCGAGCCGCTGGCGCATGGATCTGTTTCCAGCCGAATCAACAGCATGCTCCGACCCAGCGTCACTGCTTTACGCGGATCCTTCACTAGTCGGCGAAACAGCAGGACCAGCGCTACAGAGTCGGCCACGTACGAGGAACCCAGCGCGTCCAACATGGATCTCAGTCGTGATATCCATGACCATGTTGAACGTGATCATGACTTCATGCCCAACGTCCGAGCATGCTGCGATGGTAAGACCCCTTGATTGTTTGCATCAGTGTAGGAAAGCTAACGAGTCCACAAGGCAAGCACGATGTTGCACATCTTCATCAACATTCAATCAAAGGTCGGCACGTCAACTCTTCAGCTTCCAGGCCTTCGCTCTTCGGCTCCATAAGTTCGCGCGCGCAATCCCGAACTGAGTCTCGCACAGAGTCCCGGACTGAGTCACGTACGGAGTCACGTACGGAGTCGCGAACTGAGATGCGCAACGAGCAGCTGCGCCATCAGGCTGAGATGGAGGCAGCGAACTATGGAGCTGGTGCATAATCTCACCTTATACCTGAACCTTTCCTATTTTGTCATCCGCGTTTGTCCCGCACGACGCTTCTCTAGTCATCTGGTCTAACTGACGGTCTCTTTTCCTTTAGCACTAGTCGTTTCGTATGGGGGCCATTCCCACTTTCCTATGTATCTATCAATTCATCTTTCGGCCTTTGGACGTTACACCTCGGTTTGGATCCGGACGAAGCAGAAACTCAAATTCGAATGCGGATTCAAGGAGATTTGTGCATGGCGTTCAACGGTGAAGTATTTCCTGTTTACTCTGCGCAGTTCGCTCGACTGGGGTTGGAGCTGTACACTGAGATGACCTGACGCTTCCCACCTAGACTAGTCTCCGTCTTGTCTCCGTTCTACTAGAAGCGCATCTCAAACATATGCGGCCGATTCATTTTTCTCCCTCGACCTGCAACATTCAGTATTGTTTTACTTGTATATTTAGCATAGGGGCGTTATGTAATGTCTGTACCTGGGCTTAGAAGTGTAGCGTCGACTGTCTCTGGTCAGATTGATAAAAAATAAAACAAGATCGAGATTGATTGCACATTGCATTTCGTCCTTATAGTGCAGATGATTGCTTCTTGCCAAGAGCAAAACTAGACACAATGTCAAAACAGGCTGCAAGAGGGGTCGTCAGTGTGCTATGAATGGAGCAATAGTCTTGCAGCACCAAAACAAATCAAGACGGGATTGTGGCGGTCCCGAATTCCAAGTGGGTACGCAATAACGCCAAGACAGTAGGCCGGGACACTAAACTTTTGCTCCAGCCAACGCGCCTGTCACGTTGAGTCTTTCGTCGACCACGACAACACGAACACCAATCGCGCATCTTGTTTCTGTCAAATCTTCACTTCTGCAACTGCGGGGCAGCATCTGTTTCTCTTGGAACATCGTATATTACGCCTAATAAAATCTCGCCCCGACAAGACACCAAAGCGCGCCACGGCACGCCGTCTAGCTCCGACAGAAAGCTACTGCCATCGAAGGAGGCCCTCTCGCCCCTGCGACCTTACAGCAACGCGGAGCTCGAACCCGAGTCCGGACCGCAAGCATGGCGCGTAATTCCGAAAAAGCGCACTCGATGCTTTTCCGCTTCCGCGCTGCGCAGGCCGCGGAAGCTGGTATCATCGACATATCGCGTACCCGCCGCCCCAAGCTCATCACCTCTGTCAACTCGATTCCGGTTTGCGAGAAATGGCGCGGTCAGGTGTTAAAGGAGATTTCGCGCAAAGTCACAAAGATCCAGGACGAGGCCCTTTCAGACTACCAGATCCGCGACCTCAACGATGAGATCAACAAACTCATGAGAGAGAAGCACATGTGGGAAAGTCAGATAAGAGGCTTGGGGGGACCGAACTACATGAGAGGCGGGCGAGTGCTTGACGAAGAAGGGCGGGAGGTGCCAGGAGGAGGAAAGGGATACAGATACTTTGGACGAGCAAAGGACCTGCCGGGGGTCAAGGAGTTGTTCGAGAGGCAGAGCAGACCGGAAGACGACATGGACAAGGGGCGCGAAAAGAGGAGTGAACTGAGGCAGAAGGTGGATGCGGGCTACTACGGCTACAACCTAGACGAAGAGGACGGCACGCTGCTAGCATATGAAACGGCCAAAGAGCAGGAGGCCTGGGACAATTTCATGTTGCTCGGCGATGAACTGGACGCAAAGCCGAGCAAAACACAGAAGGAGTGGATGGAATTACCCGGTGACGTGGGCGACGGCATACGATGGCGCATCCCAACCCTTGACGAGGTCAACAACGAGCTAGTCGAGCGCAGGAGGAGGAAGCTTCTTGAGAAACTGGGTTGAGCGCGGAGTTTCAGCGGTGAAGTGTGTAGCAGCAGACTACGACTTTCCAAGTGCAGCTTCTACTTGGCTGGGAGACGAGAATCAGACATTGATACCCTTGCCGAGCGACCGGCTTCACAAAACTTATGTAGATTAGAATCATTGGGACAAGCAAGAGCAAGTCCAAGTCAGCATGACAATGCAAGTGGCGCATGATGCTTTGGTCATTCATGCTTAGATACCATCAGATGGACTACTCAGCGTATGGTCATAGTGAATGCGAGTGGGTAGCAAACGGATATGCCGTGCACGTGAGCCTTGGTTTCTGGCCCTGGTTGTGGCAAAGCAGTAAGCTTCTCTTGCAGAGCATGGTCGCACAGGCTCCCGGCCGCTCAAGTTGTGAACAAAGTATCTTCCTCTCTCAGGTATTCTCCGATATCCGCTTGTCTGAAGGTGACAATACCCGTAGGATCCAGTTTCCTCGCCTCGGCCGTCGATCGTGCACTCACACCAAAGCCCTGATGTTACATGTTAGCCCAAGATTCGGTTCGTCGCTTTACAGCTGGCGGCCGACTTACCAATGGCGTATCGTTCATACTCAGCACAACAACACCTTGATGTTCTGGGCAATCCTCACTCCACCGTCCGACATGCGCCTTGAGCACATTGCCGCCGTACAGGAAGGGCATCTCGCCGTTTTGCTTGACCCAGACCTTGTATCTTGCGTGCGGGGCGATTACACTCAGCGCGGTGATGTGCAGGCGGAATTTGCCCGTCTTGGTGAATTTGCCCAGGCAGATGCCGAGAGAGAGGAGGTTGTCGCGCGCGACGGATGTGGCAAGATTGGCGAGGGACTCGCGGACGTAGTAGACTCGTGAGCCCTATGCGTTGATTGTTAGCAAGTTGAGCTAGCTGGCGACGGGTGGGGGCGGTTGGAAGAGTGAATACCTGGACGCGGAAGACATTGCGATCCGACCCGCCTGTAGGGTCGGCGATGAGGTTCGATATGCCCTTTCCGCAATACGTCGCGAGCTTCTCAAAGAGCGTCTTGGTCTCTGGTTCTGTGAGCGGCCTCATCGTGGGCGTATGTAGACAAGTGCCGAGTTGAGGTTGGGGCTGGGCGCATGTTCGCAAAGTCGACCTCTGCTGCCAAAAATTTGTGGGGCGCATGCTAGCCGGGCTAGGCTCCTCCGCAGCCTCCGCCAAAATTTCAGACAGTCGGGTGTGCAATCCCCAACCAAGCCTGACCGTCGCCCACATCGGCCCACGAGCACCTGCGCCATGTCTCGCGTCCCGGCTGCGAAGAGAAGGCGGCTGTCTCCGCCCGAACACGGCGAGCATGCCAGCGGCGCGGCCGAAGACCACCAGGCAAGCTTCGTGAAGAACGCCGCGAAATGGCATCTCGAACAAGACTACGAAACGCGACCGCGCAGACTGAAGAAGCCGAGGGAGAACAAGAAGCTGCCCGTCAGGACAACCGAGGGATGGGTAGCGGCGCCGCCCAATGCGCAGGATATCAAAGAGGAAGAATCCGACAGCTTTCTCGCCTCTGGCAGCGACGACGGGGCGCTCGAGGCGTCGCATCTACAAGACGTGGACGAGGAGAAGCCCAAGATGCCAGCGCGACAACAGATACTCGACGCCAAGGAAGAGCTTGCGCGCATAGCAGGTCTGGTCAACGAGGACCCCGAGGAGCACGTTGGAGCGCTCAAGGCACTGCAAGCCCTCGCCGACTCGGACAACATTACCGTCAAGAAGCTGGCGTTGGCGACACAAGTCTCCATCTTCAAGGACATTATCCCCGGATACAGGATTCGGCCCTTGTCGGAAGAGAAGATGCAAGACAAGATCTCAAAGGAAGTCAAGAAGTTGCGGCAGTTCGAGCAGAAGCTGGTATCCAGCTACGAGGCATATGTAAAGCACCTCGCGAGGCTAGCAAAGTCGAGCGGATCGGACAAAGAGCACATGGCTGGTCTGGCAACAGTCGCTGTCAGCTGCGCATGCAACCTGCTCAACTCGGTGCCGCATTTCAACTTCCGTGGAGAGCTGTTGAAGATTCTCGTTGGCAAACTTAGCACGAGGAGGGTGGATGCCGACTTTGTACGATGCAGGGAGGCCATGGAAACCCTGTTTGAGAACGATGAGGATGGCAACGCTGCGCTGGAAGCCGTCACCATGTTGACAAAGATGATGAAGAGCCGGAACTACCACTTCGACGAAAGCGTGCTGAACACGTTTCTGCACCTGCGGCTACTGTCAGAGTTTGCGCAGAAGGCCTCATATCATTCCGTCGACAAGGCGGAAGACCCAATGGTCAATGGCAAGAAGATGAAGCAGAAGCGCGAGTTCAGGACAAAGAGGTTACGAAAGGAGCTCAAGGAGAGGAAAGCGATCGAGAAGGAGTTCAAGGAGGCGGATGCAGCTGTCAGTCACGAGGAGCGTGACAGGATGCAGGCTGAGACGCTCAAGATGGTGTTTGTGGCATACTTCCGAATCCTAAAGGCTCGCTCGCCCAAACTCATGGGTGCGGTGTTGGAAGGTCTGGCACGATACGCACACCTGATCAACCAAGATTTCTTTGGAGACATCCTGGAAGCTCTTCGAGACATCATCGCCACCGCCGAGCTTACGGCCGCTGCCGCAGTTGAAGACGACGAAGACGCATCGGATGAAGATGACGATAACGAAGCACCCGAGCGCAACCTTACGCGCGAGTCTCTCCTTTGCGTCATTACAGCCTTTGCACTACTCGAAGGCCAAGACGGAGCGAAAACAGCGTCAGTCTTGAAACTCGACCTCAGCTATTTCATCACCCATCTCTACCGCACACTACATCCTGTCGCATTGAACCCAGACATCGAACTCAGCTCCAAGTCTCTCCATCTTCCCGACCCCAACGCTGCGACATCACATGCCGACACCGCAAAAATCAACGTACAAACCACCATCGTCCTACTTATCCGCTCCCTCTCCTCCGTCCTCCTACCCGCCACCTCAATTCGCGCCGTTCCGCCCCTCCGCGTTGCAGCTTTCGCCAAACAACTGATGTCCATATCCATGCATCTCCCCGAGAAGTCTTGTACCGCTATGCTTGGGCTAATAAATCGTGTCACCAAGACGCATGGCAAAAAAGTAGCGCCTCTATGGAATACAGAGGAGAGACGGGGCGATGGAGTATTTGATGCACTGAAACCTGAAATCGAGGGTAGTAATCCTTTCGCAGGGACCGTTTGGGAGGGAGAGATTCTGAGAAGACACTTTGCGCCTAGTGTGAGGGAGGCGGTGAGTGGTCTGGAGAGGAATATTTTGGAGGCTAGTAGATAGATGGGGTTTGCACAGTGGTACAACAAAGCTGCGTCAGAGACACCGATGAACGAGCATTCCGGGAGCTCCGTGGTCATGGGGTGTAAAGATGAGGATACGAGTAGAAGACAGAATGAAAATGACCGGAAGAGCAACGATATCGAAAGATGGCTTGGCTCATGCGATGGTGCATGGTGATACTCGTCAGTTGCCTTCGGACCTTAAACACCGAGGTGTGGGACCTACTGCCGATATACGTCTCCGGTAGCCACGTGGGAGACTTGATAATTTTCGAATAATTAGGACTTCTTGATCGATGCTTGACTGGCGAAGAAAGCTCCGTATCAACAGATACCTTAGGCCTTGGCGCTTGAAGTCTACACGACGTCTCCCGACCAGCAATCTGGACGTACGTGACTGCACACGTTACAACCTAGAAATTAAACTCGCCACTGGTTGTGAGAGGTTTCTGGTGGTCATTTATGCGACAGGGAGTACTCTAGACAAGGATGTTTTACAGGATGTATGGATCCCACTCACTCCAGAGGCCACTGAGCAATGTACCTCCGATTCCGATGGCGATTCCGATGGCCGGGATTGAGACGACCTCGGGACGCCCAAGGTCAAACCTCGTCGATCTTGGGACTGACATAGTACTCACTGCATCTTATAGTGTTCTACCCTCTCGGTCGGAAAGCTCCGGCAAGAGGGATGGATGGGTGGATTTGTTACCGGCTAAATAACCATGCCTTCATTTCAACGAACCGCCGGCATCTAGCGTCTTTCTCGCATAGATTCGCAGATCCATGCATGGGTCATGTCGTGCGAGCATCTACTGCGACGTCGATTTACGCCCATCTCCGCTGAGCTTTCGAGTGTCTCTTTGGCATTTTCGTGAAGCTTTCTTGGACGTCGGAAACAGATAGAACCATTCCTACAAACGGCGTACAACAGCTGCGTGCAAACTAGAAAGTGTTGCCTAAATCTACCATGCCTTGGCGAGCACGGCACACATCTATGGACCCTGGACGTCGTCCTAGGACGCGCAAGATCTTCAAGATTACTACTACGCCTCGCAGTCATTCATATTAGCCTCACTCTTGGCATGAACTGGCCGTCTCGTCTAGACAGCGTAGACGAAGGTTACCGCCTTGGCGACAGATATGCTTGTAGCATCTACGGCACAACTAGCAAGTGGAGACTGTGAGTACTACTCACTGAACAGAGCTCGTCACTCCCTGACACGTCACTTCAAATGTGATAGAATTACAGCTATTGCCTGTCTTCTGCGCTATTGTCGCTCCAGCTTGCTTTGAAGACCGGTAGTTAGACGCAAGGGACTCTTACGCAAGACACTCTACTCAAAGTTGGTAGATCTATCCTCGGGCCATGCCTAGCTATACAATGTATCTGAGCCCGTAGTCTACATTTGTTCTAGGTCTTCGATCAAAATCTTGTGTGTTCGACCTGCATCTGCCGAACGCATCACACGCTTCATCCCTCAACATATAACATATTCGCATGTGGAAACTCTTGATACATCAATCAAAGCCCCCATCTAACAAGACTCTTTCCGACATGACTGTCATATAGATCACGGCTGGAAAGATCCGAGCAACTACCTAGGTAATTTTGCCTGTACATCGGCGCTTATGCCCAGAGATCTCATATATAAGTTGGGTCCTGCCTCTATCATATAGCAGTCAAGTCAGTGAGCGCTGCCTCCAAGTCAAAGATGGCAGCATTCCATCTTGGGGCGCTGTATGTCCTCTTCATCTCACTGTCCGTACTACAAATACTCTGTGCAGCAGACGCAGTTGGTGATCTGCAGACCAAGGGCCGAGCAGCCATCGACGCCGCCATTGCCAACTCAACAACGTGTACCAAAGACAAACTCCGCGTACGCCGAGAATGGTATGTCCAAAGGCACCCTAGGACTTTTCCATACACCGCCAGCTAACATGTACAATCAGGGGCAGTATCAGCGCCTCGGAAAAGCGCGCCTACATTGCCGCCGTCCAGTGCATAACCAAAGCGCCCTCCAAGCTCTCTACCGTGTACCCCGGCGCCAAATCACGGTTCGACGACTTTGTAGCAATTCATATGAAGTACACGCTCTCAATCCATGGCACAGGGAACTTCCTATCCTGGCATCGATACTACACGTTTGCGTATGAGAACGCGTTGAGAGTCGAATGTGGCTACAATGGTACCCAGCCATACTGGGACTGGGGACGATGGGCAGCCAGCCCAGAGACTAGCCCGATTTTCGATGGCAGCGACACGAGTATGAGTGGCCAGGGCGAAAAGGTGCAACATAATAGCAATGGGTTGAAGCCGGCTGGCAACGGGGGAGGATGTATTGCTAGTGGGCCGTTCAAGGGTATGATGGTTAACCTGGGGTATGTACCACCTTCCATACTTGTAGTGCCATACTGCCCCTGCCGGTATCCTATATGTGCATCTGCTGACTTCTCCCAGACCGCTGGCAGCAATGGACAGTCCGCAGGCTCCACGTAATCCACGATCAGATGGCTTTGGGTACAATCCTCGGTGCATCAAGCGCGATATCAGCAACTACCTTACGCAACTGTACGCGACGACAGATAAGACTGCTGCTTTGATCACAAACAGCAGGACTATTGCAACATTTCAAGATGTTATGCAAGGAGCGACGGGTGTCCACGGGGCGGGACATTTCACGGTTGCTGGTGACCCGGGGAGTGATTTCTATACTTCGCCTGGTGGTGAGTACCATTCTTTTTCTTCATTTGCGGCTTCCCAACTGATCAACGCGATGCCGCAGACCCATATTTCTACCTTCATCACGCCATGATCGACCGTGTATGGTCTATTTGGCAGAGCCAAGACTATCCAAACAGGCAGCAGGTTATCGCAGGTGGCACGTCAATGATGGGCGGTGGGAGGGCGCAGAGTTTGGAGGATACTGTAGACCTGGAGGTGTTGAATGTAGACGGCAAGGCATATAAGATCAAGGATTTGGTTAGCACGGTTGCCGGACCGTTCTGCTACGTCTACGAGTAGTTTACGCGTCGACGACTGTCACAAGCCGGGGCCTCGACCTTTGAAGTGTAGAACGTACGATATACCAAGCCTGGATTCGAGCTTGGGCTGAAATAGCTTGTAGATGCTAGCATATCTTTGAACAAGTCAACCGGGGCAAGCGAAGAGATGGCCTTTGTTATAAGCAGTACGTTATATATTGATGGTCCTCAGATTAGCTCTCCTGCTGTCCTCAGAAGGAACCTCGTCCATTCCCCATCGATTAGTCTTTCGACCTCTCAGCAGGCAATGATCGGGCTCCTCAACTCGACTTTGGCTTTAATGCCCCCACAGGGACATCATCACTGGACCCCTTCCGCCCGTCTGTAAAACAGGACTTTGAAAAGAAAACAACCCTCTAACACAAGCACCACCACCTAGACCCACAGACCCAACGACAAAGACCACGCATCCCCACGACCAGCGATGCCACAAGGGCAAAGGCGCTCGGATTGAAAACTACTTTTCATGTCGTCAAGAGCGAACTTCGTCCTCCAAGCTTGTTAGGCGAGGTAGCACGGCGCTTCAACCTTTTTTATTCTTCCTCAGTGCGCAGTGGGAAAGGCTGGGGCTGGAGTCTGGTGATGGTGAACCCAGTGGCTTTGCGAAATCGCCTCCATCAGCGTTGTGCAATGATGAGTTGAGCGATGTGGCTACATCTAGTATGATGGCGCACTCCCTCCGCTTTCCGTTCTTGATTGTCATGCAGTGAGACGCCGGGGTGATTAGTCCCCAGCATCGCCTTGTGACGAAGGTTTGTCGTTCACTGGGATCTGATGGGCGTTAGCTGTTGTTTCGCGTGCGCTTACAGCCGGCGCATTCTAAGCTAGATAATAGCGGTTGGGGCTACTTACTCGCTGCTCGGGTTGTGGGTAGTGAGAGAAAGCTGCCGACGCGCAGCCTGGAAACTTGAGCGCGCAATCACGGGCCATGCTAGCAGCGCGCTAATGACATAAGCATCTTGTCCTTCCACCGGCGTCGATCAAGAAGCCAAACTACTAGATTAAAAAATTATGTCTTGGCGTCTCCACAAAAGCAGTCTGTACATCCGGGTTGTGTCTACATATATTGTCATCTGTCGAAGGTGAAGCTTGTCAATTGTACATTCGCTGTCTTGCTAAAGACGATTGGCACGACGTGCACGTCGGTATGTATGTATAATGCACGTATGTCTATCCCAACACAAGCATGCAATCATGGAGCACTGTCTTATGTGTTGCTTGACTATGAATAAAGCATTCGACATCGTGGCCGCTTCCATTACTCCATGTAGCCAGGTCACCTAAAACGGATGCTAGAGCAACCCTCAACCCACTCCGCTTGCTTTCATCGGCAGCCTTTGTGAAATTCTGTACAGAGGCGTGTTATTATATGCGGAGACATGGCTTCCACCTTGGGCATGTCACGCTAAGGTGTTACGATTGATACATGCTAGGAAAGAGAAGTAAGAGCGCTAGGTGAGATAGAAAACAATGCGCGTGGCCTCTCCAGGCCATTTTTTGCACAGCTCGACTCCATCATCCAACCCTGTACAGTGCCATCCAGTCATTCTCATCGCCGACTTCGACACACCCATCAAACTGGAGCATTGGTGGGCCCAGCCAAGCAAGCTTTTTGTTGCCCTTGAACTTGAGGTAGGAGCTGTTCCCCTAAAAACGGTCTCTTTGCTTGGTCCTGTAAACGGTAAAGCCGACATAGGCACCGGTCAGGGCTAGGCCAAATAGCACAAACTTGACGAGGAACCAAGTCCAGCTTCCACCGCTGCTGCTCTTTTCGCGCGTCATAGACGAGGCAGTCTTGCCCCCTGAGCTTCCTGACGAGGAAGCCGACCCAGGAGTCTTTTTGTAGAGATTTTGCGACTTGACTGAAACGATGTCGTGGTTGTCGGACAGTTCGCCGGTTTCGGCGGAGAAACCCAAGTAGGCGACGGGCGGAACCTTGAAGTTGGGGATCTCGAAGCATTGGGTCCATTCGCCCTCTGACTTGTACTGGAGCTCGAGGCGGAGGAATTGTTCTTGGAAATACGTGAGACGAGCTTTGGTGGCGATCTGGGCATTGCGAATGCCACGGGCCTAGTTGGCGTTAGTATCGAGAGGGCCATATGGGCCAGGCAGCACGTACAGAGCATCCAGCGACCTCGTTGGCCTTGCCGTCGTTGTCCTTGTCGTAGGGCGTGTTTCCATCTCCGTTCATGGCCATGATGTAGGGGAACACGGTGCCGGGGCGGTTGTTCTTGTAGGTGTCGAAGAAGAGGCCGAGGCCCTCAAACTTGTCGGTGTGGCCGAAGACGTTTCCTGGCTGCGCGCGCTGCTTGGTGAGCCACATGGCGAAGCCATCGCCGTAGAGGTTGCCCTGGCCGTGGATCTTGAACTCGAACGTAATCTACGGGCGTGAGCGTCTGGGACATGTGGTGGGACAGAGTGCAGCCTACCTCCCAGTTGGTCGCGGTCAGAGGCACGCGCGAAAACAGCCAGCCGTCGCGCGAGGGCTTGTCTGAAGCCAGTCGAATGTACTTATCAGTCCGAATAATCGTGTCTCCGCCAAAATCCCACCAGCGGCTCTGCATGTCCGAGTCGAGGTACGGCTGTGTGCGGCGTCAGGGCATGTTTGCATGGGCGCAGAGGACATGCGACTTACGGGCTCGAGACTGTGTGTTCGCAGCGAGATGGCCTTGATATCAGGGTCCTCGCTCAATCCCCCGGACCGCGCCCAAGCACCCGTCCAGCTGCCTGCAAGCAAGCACAGGCTCGTCCATGGTCTTGCTGCCCACATGGTCGCGCACCAAGAGAGTACTGGCGCGGAAGAAAGAGTGGCACCAAGACTGCGTTGTAGTGGTTGGGGGAAACAATTAGAGAGGCACGGGTCGGGCGACTGGGACGGGGCGTGGCGTGCTGGAGTTGGCAGAGTGAATCGTCGACATGGAAAGGCCACTCTATCACCTCGGCGTGCATTGCAGGGGTCCACCGTCTCGGGTTGCAGCGACTACGCTAGCGAGAGAGGCGCTCTTGACGTCGACAAGCACGCACGACGCACCTTTTCGCAGCACCACGCCCCACGACCCACGCCCCTTCACCCCCAGACGCACACCCACCCGAGACCATGGACTCCCTGGGCGGCATGTCCTCTTACCCGAGCGACCCAAAGACGGCCGTCATGCGCCAGGTCCAGCAGGAAGCGGCTATGCAGAATGCGCGCATGCTTGTCGAGGTCCGTCGGTCCGGGGCATATACTGTCTCTGCATGGCGGTGCACGTCGTACTGACGCCTTCCCAGAAACTCAACGAGCACTGCTTCGAGCGCTGCATCCCCAAGCCCGGTGCTGCCCTCTCCAAAGGCGAAGAAAGCTGCATGAGCGCATGCATGGAAAAGTACATGAGCGCATGGAATACTGTGAGCAAGCAGTACGTCGGCAGAATACAGCGCGAGAGTGCCCAGGGCGGTGCCGTGCAGAACCTGTAAAGGCTTGGTTGGACTGCGCCATCACGACATTACAACACTGCGGAGGACCACAATGTACTATACACTGTACCATGAATAACATCTCGTCATGGCTTGGAAGCCTATTTCTTAGCAAACGTCTTCTGCCTCTGCGCATACTCCTTTACAATGACACTGCAATTGACCTCCTGGCACAACCTCTTCTTCCTCTCTGGCGTGAGCTTAGTCGCAAATTCCAGTCCACTAGCCCTCTCCACCGCCTCGACCGGTACTTCAAAATCCGTCAACGGTTTGTGGCTGGGAATGACGGCATTCGGCAGCACAAAAGCACCCAGCGCCACCTTGCCCCCCAGCTTCCCGTCTTCGGCGAAGATGACCTTGTAGAAATGTGTAGGCACAGCCACGTTGGGTGGTGAGCCGATGACTTCATATGACACTCGCCATTTGCCGTCGGCCTCGCGCTTGGGGAGATACAGAGGGCCGGTTACGATGCGGACCGAGGGGTACGAGTGTGTGAGCCTCCGGCAGAAGTCTTCGAAATGCGCCCAGTAGTCGCGGTTGAAGCCATCGCCCACTTGCGGACACATGTTGCTCAACGCAAAAGTATCGTCCATGGCTTCCTGGCTCCACTTGGCATCTGCAGCAGGGACTTGATGCCCCCTATCGTAGCCAGAGCGGAAGTAGTCCTTCAGCTTTGCACGGAACATCTCGGGGATCGTCACGTCTTCTACAAACACGCTGTGTTTCCTGTCCGCGTTGCTGTTGGCTAGCGACTCGGGCGTAATGTGCTCGGCGACCCATGCGGGGTTTCGTGTTCGTCGGTCGTAACTTGATGTGAGGGAGGCGGCAGGGCGGAGATCGTTGACTGGGCCCGGGAACCCATATTGGAAGATACCGTTGGGGTCTACGACTGCTCTCCGGGCAGCCACAGCCACAGCGGGCGATGGCGTGGCAGGGACCGAGGGTACAGGCGCTGGCCGGCCGGGCCCAGCTATGGTTGTCGTCGTAGTCGTGATGACGGATGGTGCAGACGGAGGGCCATCCTTCTTTGCAGAGTAAAGCGCTGCAGTCGCTGCAGCTCCTGCAGCTGCACCACCAGCAGCTATCAAACCCAAGGTGAGTTTGGACATGATGAATGTTGTTCAGTCTTCCGAGACGTGGGTTGTTGGTCGTCGGAGGTGATGGGAATGCCCCTCGTGAGCCAGAGAGCGACTCCCACGGCTTCGGCGTCCTTTACGGCGCGTGAGGGATGTCTCAGAACGCGTCTACCCGTGCTCGTCTGGTTCGCTGGCGCCTGCTCCCTAATGGTCATCTGCATTTTTGACGACGAGGGTTTGGCGCTTACCGCATGCACGCTAGTCTTGACAGCCGCACCTGCATGCATATTCGACACCACATACAAATCATCAAGTCCGGCCGTTTTACGGGTTTCCAGTACATGCGCAGCCCTCTTCGTTTCTGTTTCTTCTACTGTACATAGACGGCTATGCGGATCTGCATTGAGGACATCATCGCATAAAGTGTGACGTCAACCCGCTAAAATGC